GTAGGGTAGAAGGCAGCCTGAATAGGGCAGAAGGCAGCCAGAGTCAAAGGCAGCCTGAGTTGGGTAGAAGGCAGCCTGAGTAGGGCAGAAGGCAGCCAGAAAAGGGAAGAAGGCAGCATGAGTATAGTCAAAGGCAGTCTGAGTTGGGTAGAAGACAGCCAGAGTAGGGCAGAAGGCAGCCTGAGTAGGGAAGAAGGCAGCCAGAGTAGGGAAGAAGGCAGCCTGAGTAGGGTAGAAGGCAGCATGAGTTGGGTAGAAGACAGCCTGAGTAGGGTAGTAGGCAGTCTGGGTAGGGCAGAAGGCAGCCAGAGAAGGGAAGAAGGCAGCATGAGTATAGTAGAAGACAGCCTGAGTAGGGTAGAAGGAAGCCTGAGTATGGATGAAGGCAGCCTGAGTAGGGTAGAAGGCAGTCTGGGTAGGGAAGAAGGCAGCCAGAGAAGGGAAGAAGGCAGCATGAGTATAGTAGAAGACAGCCTGAGTTGGGCAGAAGGCAGCCAGAGTGTAGGGTAGAGGACAGCCAGAGTAGGGTAGAAGGCAGCATTAGTATAGTAAAAGGCAGCCTGAGTAGGGAAGAAGGCAGCCTGAGTAGGGCAGAAGGCAGCCTGAGTAGAGTATAAGGCAGCCTGAGTAGGGTAGAAGACAGCCTGATTAGGGTAGAAGGCAGCCTGAGTAGGGTAGAAGACAGCATTAGTATAGTAAAAGGCAGCCTGAGTAGGGAAGAAGGCAGCCTGAGTAGGGCAGAAGGCAGCCTGAGTAGAGTATAAGGCAGCCTGAGTAGGGTAGAAGACAGCCTGATTAGGGTAGAAGGCAGCCTGAGTATGGATGAAGACAGCCTGAGTAGGGTAGAAGGCAGCCAGAGTAGGGTAGAAGACAGCATTAGTATAGTAGAAAGCAGCCTGAGTAGGGTAGAAGACAGGCTGAGTAGGGTAGAAGGCAGCATGAGTTGGGAAGAAGACAGCCTGAGTAGGGTAGAAGGCAGTCTGGGTAGGGCAGAAGGCAGCCAGAGAAGGGAAGAAGGCAGCATGAGTATAGTAGAAAGCAGCCTGAGTAGGGTAGAAGACAGCATGAGTAGGGTAGAAGACAGGCTGAGTAGGGTAGAAGGCAGCCTGAGTTGGGTAGAAGGCAGCATTAGTAGGGTAGAAGGCAGCCTGATTAAGAGTAGAAGGCAGCCTGAGTAGGGTAGAAGGCAGCATGAGTTGGGAAGAAGACAGCCTGAGTAGGGTAGAAGACAGCATGAGTAGGGTAGAAGGCAGCATGAGTAGGGTAGAAGGCAGCCTGAGTAGGGTAGAAGGCAGCATGAGTTGGGAAGAAGACAGCCTGAGTAGGGTAGAAGGCAACATGAGTAGGGTAGAAGACAGCATGAGTAGGGTAGAAGGCAGCATGAGTAGGGTAGAAGGCAGCATGAGTAGGGTAGAAGACAGGATGAGTAGGGTAGAAGGCAGCATGAGTAGGGTAGAAGGCAGCTTGAGTAGGGTAGAAGACTGCATGAGTAGGGTAGAAGACAGGATGAGTAGGGTAGAAGACTGCATGAGTAGGGTAGAAGACAGGATGAGTAGGGTAGAAGGCAGCATGAGTAGGGTAGAAGACAGGATGAGTAGGGTAGAAGACAGGATGAGTAGGGTAGAAGACTGCATGAGTAGGGTAGAAGACAGGATGAGTAGGGTAGAAGGCAGCATGAGTAGGGTAGAAGGCAGCATGAGTAGGGTAGAAGGCAGCATGAGTAGGGTAGAAGGCAGCATGAGTAGGGTAGAAGGCAGCATGAGTAGGGTAGAAGACAACATGAGTAGGGTAGAAGGCAGCATGAGTAGGGTAGAAGGCAGCATGAGTAGGGTAGAAGACAGGACGAGTAGGGTAGAAGGCAGCATGAGTAGGGTAGAAGGCAGCTTGAGTAGGGTAGAAGACTGCATGAGTAGGGTAGAAGACAGGATGAGTAGGGTAGAAGACTGCATGAGTAGGGTAGAAGACAGGATGAGTAGGGTAGAAGGCAGCATGAGTAGGGTAGAAGACAGGATGAGTAGGGTAGAAGACAGGATGAGTAGGGTAGAAGGCAGCATGAGTAGGGTAGAAGACAGGATGAGTAGGGTAGAAGGCAGCATGAGTAGGGTAGAAGACAGGATGAGTAGGGTAGAAGACTGCATGAGTAGGGTAGAAGACAGGATGAGTAGGGTAGAAGGCAGCATGAGTAGGGTAGAAGACAGCATGAGTAGGGTAGAAGACTGCATGAGTAGGGTAGAAGACAACATGAGTAGGGTAGAAGGCAGCATGAGTAGGGTAGAAGGCAGCATGAGTAGGGCAGAAGGCAGCATGAGTAGGGTAGAAGACTGCATGAGTAGGGTAGAAGGCAGCATGAGTAGGGTAGAAGGCAGCATGAGTAGGGTAGAAGACAACATGAGTAGGGTAGAAGGCAGCATGAGTAGGGTAGAAGACAACATGAGTAGGGTAGAAGGCAGCATGAGTAGGGTAGAAGGCAGCATGAGTAGGGTAGAAGACAACATGAGTAGGGTAAAAGGCAGCATGAGTAGGGTAGAAGGCAGCATGAGTAGGGTAGAAGGCAGCATGAGTAGGGTAGAAGACAACATGAGTAGGGTAGAAGGCAGCATGAGTAGGGTAGAAGGCAGCATGAGTAGGGTAAAAGGCAGCATGAGTAGGGTAGAAGGCAGCATGAGTAGGGTAGAAGACAACATGAGTAGGGTAGAAGGCAGCATGAGTAGGGTAGAAGGCAGCATGAGTAGGGTAGAAGACAACATGAGTAGGGTGGAAGGCAGCATGAGTAGGGTAGAAGGCAGCATGAGTAGGGTAGAAGGCATGTTGCTGTGCTGACTTTGAAGAGTTGAAGAGTGAGTGTGCATGTGCAGCTTGTTTGTGTTGAATCATAAGGCTGGCTGAAGCAGTCCTCCTGATGTCAGCTCTATGCTATGCACTCTTTGGACAAACCTCACCCACACCCCTCACCCTCCTCACCCATCTGTGTTTCTATTTTCAGGGTGTGAGCGGAATGTCCGTGGATGAGAAACCTGAAGACCCCATGTATGTGTATGAGTCAACGGTTCATTGCACCAATATCCTCCTCTGTCTCAATGACCAGCGGAAGCAGGATATCCTCTGCGATGTGACTGTCCTGGTGGAGGGCAAAGAGTTTAGAGGGCACCGGGCCGTGCTGGCCGCCTGCAGCGAGTATTTCCTCCAGGCGCTGATGAGCCAAGCGGAGAATGGCTTGGTGGTTAGCCTTCCTGAAGAGGTAGGTGTTTTAGACAGGCCTCCCTTCCATTCCACTGAAGACTACTGACTTTTAAACAATACAACAGTAAAAGCTCTCCTGTAACCCAGTGCAGAGCAAGACTACATGAGTGTGAAGGTCCTCAGTCCAGCTTAGCTAAGATCAGAGTCAGGTTATGGGATCCATCAAACAGGTTATGATAACAGGAACCAGAAACTAGTAACAATATGATTTATCTCTGATTTTCCAGGTATGAGTACATTACAAAGAGTAATGTTAGGGTTTTGGTCCAGGTTCCTCACATCGGTACGCATTTGGTATAAAAAAATACAAAGTTGAGGTTTTATTGCCACAAAAAACGCGAGCCTGACTGTGTTCCATGTTGTGGAGAAGCTAATGCTTAACAGTTAGCTTCTACTAGCTTCTACGTACTCTGCGCTCTCCCTTCCGTGGCGGTCCCAAGCCAAGGTGGGCGGAGCCAAGAATACCAATTTTCCCTGTGACATAGAAGAGACTGGCTTTGTCTGAGCCGATCGTTTTCTCGTCTGTTTCCGTTCTGAGGCTAAAGCAGGCGACACATTCAGAGGGATCAAGTTTCTGTGGTTTCTATGGGAACAAGACCTTTTAGCCCACTGCAGATAGTCACAAAGGAAATCACCTCCAGATGAGGAATATGAAGGCTGCGTTTAGATCATTTCATTATGTGAACTAAAGAGGATGATTGACGTCTGCCTCCTTATGGGCTCTGTTGGGTCAAATGTCCCCTCAGACCCAACAGATGTTATAGTTTTAATCCCAAACCCATAAATGATCCTTTTGAGCCCAGATAGCAATAAAAGTGTTTTAATTTGGTCTTTTATGTGTTGTAAGATGGAGACAAAGGTGTGACAAAGGGCATTATTGAATCTGTAACACTGTGCCAATTATCACCTGTTACCTGCCACCCTGGTGTCAGCATCACCTTCCAGTGAGATTAACACCACCACTGTCTCAGCTCTCATCAGGTTTAGCAGCTCTGTCACTTCTCACTGATCGGTGTCAGAACCTTTCCTGATGGTTCTTTTGTCTTTTAAAGCTCGGAACAAGGTGTAGCTCCTGGTTACACCTTAACTTTTACTCCTGTAGAACAAGCAAGGACCACCTGAACACTGATGGGGCTGTCATAGCTACATGATAAAAGCACCACCCATGTTGAGATGTGTGTGACTGGGGAAACTGGGACACATTCCAAATGGGAGGTGGAGATCTGGATCCTCGTTGGGGCTGTGTGCAATAAGAACGGTCTCCTGTCACACCGCGCTGCTGTTGTGTTGTGTTGTGTTGTGTTGTGTTGTGTTGAGAAGTTGTGTAAAACAAGCTGCATTTTTTCCTTTTTTAACTTTGTTTCAACATGGAACCAGCGCCTTTGGGCCCAGAACCACCTTTTCCACTATCCAATCAGCTTGCAGTGATGTCATATCTCCATCCAGCCGCTACCACCTGTGTCAGAATCATTCTGTATAAATTCACATGCTGTAACGGCTTCATGGATGAACTCCTGTGCCACCGTTGACCAAGAAGTATTGTAAGAACTCTGAAGATGTGCAGCTACATCACGGTTATGTTCATCCTCCTGTAAACGTTCTAGATCCACAGACACAAAGACGAGCCCTAATGCTGATGCTTATGATCAGGTCTGCTAGAGCCTGAGAGTTGTGACTTGACCCATCATCAAAGAGAGGTGTTTTAATTCTTCTCTCCTTAAAACAAACTCACCTGCTGACAGACTCATACACTCTAGAACAGTGGTCCCCCCACCCCCAACTCCTACCTGCATGCACACATACACAGAGATTCATTACAGACTTTATATAAACATACTGAATTATATCTCCTGGGCAGAGTTCTGATTTTACTAGCTGCGGCATATTTTATAAATGTAATTTTTACAAATATGATCTTGGTAACCTCACAGCCTCAGCGAAGACACACCTCAGGTTGGAAACCACTGAGTACTGAATTAGTCAAGCAGAAAACTACAATAACAACCGATAAAGCTTAAGAGTGGTAACTGGTTTTGTGTTTGTTTCTGACTTTCCAAACTGGTTTTATTCAATTCAACTTTATTATAAAGCACCAAATCACGACCAGAGTCGACTCAATGACTTTCACACATAAACATTCCATTCCATTCCAGGTCATTAAGCCAATCAGTTAAAAGTTTCCTATCAGCAGGTTGCATCGAGTCACTGACTAGTGTCAGAGTCTTTACAGCAATCCTCATACTAAGCAAGCATGCAGTGACAGTGGAGAGGAAAACTCCCTTTTAACAGGAAGAAACCTCCAGAGAATCCTGGCTCAGTATAAGCAGCCATCCTCCACGACTCACTGGGCATGGAGAAGACAGAACACACACACACACACACACACACACACACACACACACGTATGTGTGTGTGTGTGTGTGTGTGTGTGTGTGTGTGTGTGTGTGGTAAAAAGATTTGGTCCAAGAACTGAACCCTGTGGTACTCCGCAAGTAACCCTGGAGTATGAAGAAGATTTGTCATGTACATTTACAAAATGAAATCTGTCAGACAGGTAGGATTTAAACCAGCCTAACGCTGTTCCTTTGATCCCTACAACATGTTCAAGTCTTTCTACAAGAACATTGTGATCAACTGTGTCAAAGGCAGCACTGAGATCTAACAAGACTAGAACAGACACAAGATTCTTATCTGAGGCCATGAGAATATCATTTGTAACTCTCACTAATGCAGTTTCAGTGCTGTGATACTCTCTAAAACCAGACTGAAATTCCTCAAACAGATCATTAGTGTTTAAATGCTGACATACTTGGATGGCCACTATTTTCTCCAGGACTTTGGATAAAAATGGAAGGTTAGATATTGGTCTATAATTCATTGGGTCATCTGGATCCAGAGAAGGCTTCTTAAGTGAAGGTTTGATTACAGCAACCTTAAAATCTTGTGGTACATACCCATTTACTAAGGATAGATTGATTGTATCTAGAATGGGGGCAGTAACCAAAGGAAATGCTTCTTTAAATAATTTGGTTGGGATTGGATCCAAAATGCAAGTTGAAGGTTTAGATGAAGCTAATATTTTTGATAACTCTGAAAGCTCAACTGGATCAAAACGGTTCAAGCACAGATGAGGTTCTACAGTCACCTCTGATGCTGCCTCACTTACTGAGGAAGAAGAAATCGCATTAGGGAGGATGCTAAAGATTTTGTTTCTAATAGAATTAATTTTACTTGTAAAAATCCCATGAAGTCGTTGCTGCTGAAGGCTAAGGGAAAAGATGGCTCAGAGCTATGATTCTGTGTAAGTTTAGCAACTGTACTGAAAAGAAATTTAGGATTATGCTTATTCTCCTCAATTAGTGCTGAGAAATAAGCAGTTCTAGCTTGTTGAAGCTTATTTTTATAAAGCACAAGACTATTTTTCCAAAATAAGTAGGACCCCTGCCGGTGTGTAGAGTGCCATGTTCTCTCCAATTTTCTAGAGTTCTATTTTAAAGTACGTAGATCAGAATTAAACCAGGGAACCAACTTCCTGCGCCTTCAGTTCGTGAAGAGCTAGAAATCAAAATATTTCCCACTGCTACGTTCCTCTGAGATTCTAAAGCCAGTAAAGATGGCACAGTTGATTTAAAAGATGCAAAAGTCTGATCGATGTCACTATTGTGAAATTTACTTTCATGTCTCGAGAACTCAGTTATAAAAAACTCAAAGGTTATCAGAAAGTGGTCCGAGAGGACTGCATTATGTGGAAAGATCGTTATTTACTCACACTCTATGCCATAAGTCAGCATAAGGTCCAATGTATGATGGCAGGAGTGGGTGGAGCTATGTATTATGCGGGTAAAACCAATTGAGTCTAAGATATTACTAAAGGCTACACTGAGGCAATCATTTTCAATGTCCACATGAATGTTGAAATCCCCCACGACAATGACCTTATCAGTATTTAGCACCAAATCAGATAAAAAAAATCAGAGATCTGATCCAAAAACTGAGAGTAAGGGCCTGGTGGACGATACAAAACTACAAAACAACCCTGCAAACCGTCAGTGTCGCATGGACATGCAGCTCATGGCTATATTGAGTCGGTTGGTCCAGTTTACCTCTATAGGATGTCCAAACTAAGTCTTTGCACAGTGAGAAAGAGTGGTTTTAGAGTTTTACTACTGATAATGACAGTTAGGATCTATTTTAGGCCCCAGGTTAATGACTTGCATTTTAATCCAACTATAAGGTTCATATTATTTGTGAAACTAATGTGTCTCCAGTCTTTGACCATTTTTATTTAGATTTTCTTTTGTTTAATTAAAAGGTCCATCAGGGGTTTATGTCCAGTTTCCTGGTTGGTGACTTGAGAGTGCCAACACTGATGTGGGGGTGGGAGGTGCTGGGCCACTGCTCTACTGTATCAGCATCCTTCAGCGTGTCTGTGTGTACTTAAGCAGCTCTGAGCTGACGGTCGGCTGGTCCAGCTCTCCTCTCACCGCTGCAGTGGCGTGCGGCCTGAGCGTGAGGGTAGATCAGAAGAGCAGTGGCTGTTGGAGAAAAGGGAAAGCCCCCACCTTCCTCCCTAAAGGCCTTGTTGAAACTGGTGTTGGTGACATCATCTGTATCTACTGTGATTGTGAGGCTTTGTTGGACCAACACAATGCTGCTTTCACTGATGCTGTCAACAAATATTGGGGGGGGGGGCTGACATCATTCTGACTGTAGAGTTAAGGTGGAATCATGAAAGGAGTCTGAACTACAGCCTTCCCTCTGGGCATTGAGTAGAGAAGAAGTCCAAGACAGCATCAACATAAATCTGTTGGTTTGTTTCCCTTTTGGTGGAAATATGCTGACAAGGGCAGCCACTGACTTTAGGCCCCATCAGTGGAGCAACGCGGAGCTCCGAGTCAAACATCAGCCATCTTTACACTCTGGTCAGAGAACAAAACGGTTCTGTTCATGAGGACGGATTTGTCAAGGGCGGCTGAAGAATTCACCAGATGACCCGGGCTTTAGCAGGGCTTTGAGCTCTGGTTGACCGCTGTTTGCTTCTGTAATTCTTTATTTTCAGCAGATTGAGACTGAAAAACATCACGGTACACTGAGGCTCACACTTGAAACTGGGCTGCTACAAATGATGATTTTGATAGATAAGGTCTTTATTCACCATTTGAACACACACTTAACAAGTTTTCCTGTCCACTGTCGCTACATGCTTGCGTAGAATGGCGATTGTTGTGAGAGAGATAGGTGTATTTTGGGACAGATGAATACATTTAGGAGTCCGTTTAATTATAAACACCAGTAAAGAACATGGAAAATGTCTCCATGTATCTGTCTTAGCTCTAATAACGAGGTCCTGAAGGTTACATTTCAGCAGTAACCTGTGGCTTCTGGTGATACTAAAATATTTAGAGTGACTGGTGGTGATTTTAACGGGCCGTCTACCAGTGACATAAAAAAACACTCTTGTCCCAAATAATTCAATTCAGCAAGACCCTTGAATGTGTCGGTAGGCTGAAGCAGCAGAGTAAAGCAGCATCAGAGCCACATCATCTGCATAGAGGTTTGATGGATTAGATGTGAACACTGGGTATCAGTATCAGAGTCAGTCTCGACTCCAGTGGCCCGAGGCTCCAGAGGCAGAGAGAAAATACGTAATACATGTTTGATTAAACAACAAGAAGAAGAAGCAGGTCTCCCATCCCTACAGATGACCATCTACTTGCTAAAACAGCAAGTCTGTGTGAAACTCTTCAGCTGCAGCTGTGGATCCAGAGGATGATGTCAGACTGGTTTAGGGTCGGTTCAGTAGAAAATCACTCTATTGTTTAGGAAGCTGTGCTCGCCGCTCGTTTCCTTCTGCAGCGCGGTAGCCTCATCCTCAGCTGTGAGACAAAGCAGTCCAGCTCCACCGTTCATCAGTCAGTTTGTTTGCTCCTAGAGTGACATCACTGGTGTAGAGCTGAAGCGGCCGCCCTGCTCTTGCACCAGGCTGTGGTGCTGTCTGTAATAATCACACACGCTGCAGCGCTCATGGAAAGTGTGTGCTCAGCTGCTGAGCCCAGCTGAAAACAGATTCCTGGTCAGCTCAGCAGTTTTCCTGCAGCTTTGCTGTTTATCAGCACCTCTGGATGCCACATCATCACAGTCTCCTTCATTCACTCCGTCGCTGCTGCAGGTCTTCTCTGAGTGGGACTGAAGTCAGAGGCTTTTACTGTCCATTTGGTGGGTTTGCTTCTTGCTTTGTGTCTGACTCTTTGATGTGTAAGGGGGGATTACGTGTTGACCACAGAGCAACACAAACAGTTCACAATAGTTCATGTGAGGAAGTCCTCAGCAGTCAGGTTTGGCTGGTTGTTTTTTGTCTGCTCGCTCCATCGTGCTGTCAGAAGAGGAAGAAACTGGATTACAACAATTATTTCGTTATTTGAAATAACGCATAAGAAATAAAACTGGCCCTCGCCACCCGTACATCCTCCACCAGGGGCCAGGAGACACGTACCGGACTGGTTTCTGTTCTCACCACTCTGCATAAAATCTGAGGTTCTGAAAAGAGCCACACCGACCAGACCACTTGAGTCAGAATCAGTCTGGCTCCAAGTGGTTCGTACACACAAAATTTCAGTGATTGACGCTTTGAGCTCCGTGGAGTTGAGTGGCATGTGTAGCAGCTTAAGCAGAGAAGCTAACTTCTGTCCCCCAGGCCAGCTCTCCGGGGGAATCTAAGGCGTTCCCAGGCCAGCGGAGAAACTCTCCAGCATATTTCTCTCTGACTCTGTAAACAAAAATGTTAAATCCTCAGCAATCTTAGTGAGTGAGGACCCAGCACTCGAGGGGGGAAGGGTCTAATTTCCAAGATTGTGATGTCACAATCAGAGATGTTTTGACCCAGCTTGTTTTTTGGCTCATAATTCAATTTTCCCCTGTGTTCTGTCTAACTGTCAGCCAATCAGAATGGATGTCTGAGTGCCATAAGCACGCCTCACAGGTGGAGCAGTATAGATCAGCTACAATACTCCGCCTGATACCAAAACCTTATTAGAAACGCTTTTAGCTGTAACGCACAAGATGGAAATGAGGAGGAAAGAAAAGTGTGTGTGTGTGTGTGCGTGTGTGTGTGTGTGTGTGTGTGTGTGTGTGTGTATGTGTGTGTGTGTATGTGTGTGTGTGTAGGGGATGCACAAGAATCTGCTTCTGCAGAAAGAGAGAGAGAGGAAGTGGAACCTGAACAAACACTACAGAACCAAGAGATTGTGCCAAGCAACATAAGGATGTATAACAGTAAGAATATTTGCTGAAAGCACACAGGAATACTTCATTCATGGTGCATTTAGTGCCAACCTCAGCCCAAGTTAACATGTCAAAAGCACCAGAGTTCATACCGGTGAGTTCGATTCAATTCAGCTTATTTATAAAGCACACTTCAAGGACCTTCACATAATAAACATTCCAACACAGGTCAGGTCATTTAGCCAGTCAGAATCCCAGAACTGGTGGTCAGGTCCACAGTGCATGAGCATAACAGGTGTCAGACGGAAGGATGGTTTGGGGTTTTTATGGAGGCAGCAGAGACCCACAAACGGATTCCTCTTAGCACCTGTTGATAGGAACGTTTCACCTTGTAACAGAAGCATTAACGTGAAGGATGTTAATCATTTGAAGACTAACATCAGTTGGGTTCAGATCCGTGGTTAATGCGTGAAACTTCAAACTAGATTCAGTAACTGTCTGCAGCCTCACTGGATAATCACAGTTAGTAGTAATGCAAACACACAAACACACGTCCTAATTGTTGACGTAAGGACAGATTGTGCACATACACACCACGCCCTCCCTGACGTGGACTTTCCTCTGTGTGTGAGCTCTGAAGCCGCAGGCCTGTTGGGATGCTGCTGGCTGATATTTGTAGTGAACTGGAGATCCAGCTGCCACGACGCTGCAGGTCTGCTCAACCACTACAATACATCTAAACGTCTTCATTAATGCAGCGGTTGCAGCCAGATGTTTTTGTGACATTTGTTGGTTTACAGCAGACCGCCTGTGGTCAACCCGCAGCAGCTAAATATGCATCATTTCAATTCCTTCATGAGGAATTTTACAGTTTGATCCAAAGTGGAGATAGAGAAGATTGCTCTGAACGGAGTTCTTACTTCACCAAACATAGTCTCACCTGCTACTCAGGTGTGTTGGTAACGCTCAATGTTCTACCTGAAGGATGGAGGGGCTTGGGCAGGGTGAGTGGGGTCCATCATTATGTTCTGGGCTCTGGATCTGGGTCTGCTGGAGCACCTCAGACCAGAACCTAGACCAGATCCCAGAGCAGATTGGTGCAAGGATGCTCTCCACCACTTAGCACACTAACTGCTTCAGCCTTCTCTTGGAACAGAGCTGCTGAAGACCCATTAGGACTTGAGAAGGCTCGTTGTTGGAAACCATTACTGTTCACAGCAGCTCCAGCCACGGGCACACCTTCATTATTTCTAACTAGACTGTCAACCCTCCACCTGTTGATAAGCTGGAGCTCCTGCAGACCTCCTACCAGCAGGCGAGCCACCTCCGTTCTGGTCCAAGTCCTCCGACATGACAGTAGAGTCTGGAAGTCTGTTGGATCAGGAGTTTTCCTCATCAGCTGGCATTAGGTCTAAATGAAGATCTCCCTCTATCTCCCGGCACCACATGGTCACCGTGGGGATAAGCTGTGATCTTACAAACTCTCGGGCATTATCAGAGGCGAGCTGAAGACGACGAGCACTGACACAGAGGGTGAGGCTTCTAGACTGACCTGGGATCAGGCGGCCGCTGTACCAGGAGCTGTCTAACCGTTCCTGTCAGTCTTGGCTCTCTTTACTCCGCCTCTCCAGTTTCAAAGCCTGAACACTCTGGCTCTGCTCAGATGACTCTAAAGTAGATTTTGGATTTGTAGGTTTTCATTAGTAACTTTTTCTTAAACCATGTTGTCATTCATGCCATCAGACTCATCCACACAATGGCTGTGCTGATGGTAATGCTGGCAATGTCCACTTTCCTCTTTTGCAGGTCACTGCCAGGGGGTTTGCTCCATTGCTGCAGTTTGCCTACACTGCTAAGCTGTTACTCAGCAGAGAAAACATCCAGGAGGTCATCCGCTGTGCTGAATTCCTACGCATGCACAACCTTGAGGACTCGTGCTTTCGTTTCCTGGAAGCTCAGCTACGCAGGGAAGAGGACAGCCTGCTGCTTTGCCCTAAGGGGACAGCAGAGGCAATCAACTCAGATGATGAAAGCATGCAGTCAGAGACTGAGAGGCCATCCTCCGCCAATACACAGCATTGTTCTGATGTCCTCGCCTCCTTTCAACACGCTGATGATGACAGACTAGGAATGACTATCCCTGGTAACTTCACAGACGGCCAGCTGAACATTGATCGGCACGGAGCATCAGACCTGCCGCGATGCCCCAAGTACAGGAAATATCAGTGGGCTTGCAACAAGCACAATGACACCTCCTCACACACCAGTACCTCAGGTTTTCCAAGCACATTTAAGGAGAGCAGCGTCAGCAGGACTGTGCCAGGCCAGGACAGGCTGCCCGTGGCTCAGGTCAAAGTTGAACCACAGGTGGAGGAAGAGGCCGTTTCGTTGTGCCTGTCGGGTGATGAGCAGGACGTCAGGGAGGTGGACAGTGTGACCGCTATGGAGATGGATAACCCAATATCACTGGAAAGATCCAAGATAACCAAGTCCCCATCCTGCCTCCGAGCCTTCTTCAAGACAGGGCTAGACCTCCCTAGTCTGTCCAACACTTCACCGCAGCTATTCACCAACAGACTGGTTTGCTCCTGGGACAAAGGAACCTCTCAGGGAGATCATAAAAAAGATTTAAGGCCTTTCACTGAGCTGGGCCTGCCTGTTATGTCTCCAAAGGACACCGATGGTTTCCATTCAGGGTTGTCTCTCAAGCCTTCTTCCTGTGATGGGGTCTGCAAACAGGAAGTAGAACTAGACCGCCGTAGTGTTATTTTTTCTTCAGGGGCTTGCAACCGGGTAGGAACGCCAGGGCATTCCTACCCGGGTGGAAACTCTTTAGAGATGGAGCTCTCTGAGCAGGTGACGAAAGTCCTGTGGCCTGAAGCTAGCCAGTCCCTCCCCAACACCCAGACCTTTTCACCCAGTACAACCGCCCCTGAGCCTCCAGTCCCGTGCCGTCCACGGCCTAACACCAGCTGCCCAGTGCCAATCAAAGTGTGCCCACGCTCGCCGCCTTGTGAGACACGCACCAGGACTTCCAGCTCCTGCTCCTCTTACTCGTATGCAGAGGACGGGAGCGGCGGCTCCCCTTGCAGTCTGCCTCAGTTTGAATTTTCCTCTTCGCCATGCTCCAACATGACCCGATGTCACAACGCAGACCAGCAGGAGCAAAGTGTGGGAGGGGAAGTCCTGTTCGGCCAAGTGCGACCCAAGATTAAATGTGAGCAGTCCTACGGCACCAACTCCAGTGATGAATCCGGCTCCTTCTCAGAGGGGGACAGCGAGTCCTGCAACGTGCAGGAGAGAGGGCCAGAGGTGAGTCGCATGATGTTGCTCTCATACGTGATTCTTTCATGGCTAAGTGTATGAATAATTCCAATCTTACGGACTGTAGATAACTCCTGGAACTGCCTCTTCTCATTGAAATAGATTTATGTCCTATAGCACACATAATCTAATGGCTAGTCTGAGTTTGAATTTAAAATAATGATGATGATGATATTTCTGCCATATTTAAACACATACATGAGGAGAACATGCTAACTCCACACATGCATGAGGAGAACACGCTAAATCCACACATGCATGAGGAGTACACGCTAACTCCACACATGCATGAGGAGAACATGCTAACTCCACTCATGCATGAGGAGAACACGCTAACTCCAAACATGCATGAGGAGAACATGCTAACTCCACACATGCATGAGAACACGCTAACTCCACACATGCATGAGGAGTACACGTTAACTCCACACATGCATGAGGAGAACACGCTAACTCCACACATGCATGAGGAGAACACGCTAACTCCACACATGCATGAGGAGTACACGCTAACTCCACACATGCATGAGGAGAACATGCTAACTCCACTCATGCATGAGGACAACACGCTAACTCCACACATGCTTGAGGAGAACACGCTAACTCCACACATGCATGAGGAGAACACGCTAACTCCACACATGCATGGGGAGAACACGCTAACTCCACACATGCATGAGGAGAACATGCTAACTCCACACATGCATGAGGAGAACACGCTAACTCCACACATGCATGAGGAGAACACGCTAACTCCACACATGCATGAGGAGAACACGCTAACTCCACACATGCATGAGGAGAACACGCTAACTCCACACATGCATGAGGAGAACACGCTAACTCCACACATGCATGAGGAGAACACGCTAACTCCACACATGCATGAGGAGAACACGCTAACTCCACACATGCATGAGGAGAACACGCTAACTCCACACATGCATGAGGAGAACACGCTAACTCCACACATGCATGAGGAGAACACGCTAACTCCACACATGCATGAGGAGAACACGCTAACTCCACACATGCATGAGGAGAACACGCTAACTCCACACATGCATGAGAACACGCTAACTCCACACATGCATGAGGAGAACACGCTAACTCCACACATGCATTAGGAGAACACGCTAACTCCACACATGCTTGAGGAGAACACGCTAACTCCACACATGCATGGGGAGAACACGCTAACTCCAAACATGCATGAGGAGAACATGCTAACTCCACACATGCATGAGGAGAACATGCTAATTCCACACATGCATGAGAACATGCTAACTCCACACATGCATTAGGAGAACACGCTAACTCCACACATGCTTGAGGAGAACACGCTAACTCCACACATGCATGGGGAGAACACGCTAACTCCACACATGCATGGGGAGAACACGCTAACTCCACACATGCATGAGGAGAACACGCTAACTCCACACATGCATGAGGAGAACACGCTAACTCCACACATGCATGAGGAGAACATGCTAACTCCACACATGCATGAGAACACGCTAACTCCACACATGCATGAGGAGAACATGCTAACTCCACACATGCATGAGGAGAACACGCTAACTCCACACATGCATGAGGAGAACAGATTCAGGACTGTGCCAGGGTGCCTCAGCCTCCTCTAACAGCAGTTATTCATCATTTATTCCTTCCATCACAACTCTAACCCGGGGTTTCCCTGGTCTACGGCCGTGATGACTCACAGCTGCAGTGAATCAAAGACAGCATTGGTAGGATTTTAATTGGAAAGTGTTGCAGTGAAATGAGAGAAGGAGTCCATCTCAGAGCCAGCATGAGTCTTAAACACAGCTTGACACTGCTGACGAGGACATTTCCTGTAATTATCCTCCTGTAATCCACCTGAACAGACGTTCTCCAATCCCGGGACCAGACAACCTGTGTAGTATAGATTAGTGGGAACGTCTCCGCGTTAAACAACAACACTGACAGGATATAAAATCATTTAGAACCTGTTCCCCATCATTCTCATTTGTTCTGGTGTTGTTGGGTCAGGGCCTCTCCAGAGAAACTCTGTTCGGTTCTAGATCTGTTCGGTTCTCCTGGTTAGCATGTCAGGCGCTTTTCTAATGAATCATACACGGTAGGGTTTTTATACGACACGCTGCCGTGTCTCTCTGTGGACCGGGACTTAAACGCTGTCTGATGTAAGCGTGAACTTGTGACCTTTGTCTACGGCTCGTTCTGTCGGGCCATCTTGACTCTCCTGACATTAATCTCAGAGATGTTTGCTGGCAAAATTATTTGTGACGAGGCTGGTGGAGAGGGTTGCTCTGAGTGTTCAAAGGAAGCAGGAACAGAGGGAGAAAGCACTGCGTTCCCATGGCAACTGGGTTCACAGCACACCGTACGTCGTAGACACATGAAAGGGCCGCACTTCATTCCTGCTGCACAAACCGAGCTGCTAGAGGCTCAGCAGTAATGTGGAATGATCACCCTCACCGTGCTATGAACGGCATTCCGTTTGGCGTTCCATGCAGCGTTCCCTACACTGCCAGACAGAGGATATCTGGGCCTCTGAGGCCTGCAGATTGCGTCATCTAGAACATTCAGACGTCATCATTAGAGGAGAGGCGGGGGTCGGACCCCACTGGGAGTCAGGATTGTTCTTAAATAACTAGCATTAGCTTCTGATCTGAAGATCTCAGATTAAATCTGGGAGCTGTTTCATTAAACCACCCTCAGATGCTGCTGGAAGGAAGTTTCCTACCAAAATAAAAGATGGGTAGTATACTACCAAAATAAAAGAGAGGTTAAGAGATGCCCTGTCTAAGGTCTCAGACTGCCTTTACGTGAGTCTGCTTTACTCTGGATTATTTAGTACTGTCACTGGGACAGGAGATCATTTCACCAGGCTTTTATTTTGATAGGCAGAATTTTCGTGCTAAATCAGTGTTTATTTTCTGTTTTATTCTTTTAAATTAAATGAGTTATCAGTCATTTTTGTCTGCTTCAGTCACAGAAGGCGGTTCTCTGATCCTGGTTTTGTGGGTCAGTATCTGGCCGGTTTGGGAGAACAGGCCAAAATTCTCTCTGGGTCGTTTTATTCTGAAAGAGCTACATAACTCCAGACTGAATCCTTGGTTGAATCCCCGTCTGGCAGCTCCTATGCGTGTCCCAGATCTGCTCCTCGTGTCGTCTGTTGCGTCTCGTTGAGGATGTGGCTGATGTGTGAATGAGCTCAGGCCCGCTGAGGCGAGCTGCTAGCTAGATAAATATAAAAGTGTTTGATCTGAGCAGGGCCGAGCCTCGGGTCGCCGCTACTGGGCACAAACCTCCTGATGTAGTTCAGAATCAGCTGTGTGGTCACCTTTCACTGGAGTCATCTGTGAAGCAGGAGGTGTCCCATCGAGACGGCTGATCTGTAGGAATGGACTCGTGTGTGTTCTGGATGTTTCTGTGTGAGCGTCAGAAATAAGCTCTGAACAGCCTTCGTTCAGAGAAACAGAGTTTAACAGAAATACATTTACAGTTGGGTCAGTGTGTGTGTGTGTGTGTGTGTGTGTGTGTGTGTGTGTGTGTGTGTGTGTGTGTGTGTGTGTGTGTGTGTGTGTGTGTGCGTGTGCGTCTGTGTGTGTGTGTGTGTGTGCATCTGTGTGTGTGTGTGTGTGTGTGCGTCTGTGTGTGTGTGTGTGTGTGCATCTGTGTGTGTGTGTGTGTGTGCGTGTGTGTGTGTGCGTGCGTGCGTGTGTGTGTGTGCGTGCGTGTGTGTGTGTGTGAGCGTTTGCGTGTGTGTGTGTGTGTGTGTGTGTGTGTGTGTGTGTGTGTGTGTGTGTGCGTCTGTGTGTGTGTGCATCTGTGTGTGTGCGTGTGTGTGCATCTGTGTGTATGTGCGTGTGTGTGTGTGTGTGTGTGTGTGTGTGTGTGTGTGTGCGTGTGTGTGCGTGTGTGTGCGTGTGTGTGTGCGTGCGTGTGTGCGTGTGTGTGTGCGTGTGTGTGTGCGTGGGTGTGTGTGTGTGTGTGTGTGTGTGTGTGTGTGTGTGTGTGTGTGTGTGTGGGTGTGTGTGTGTGTGTGGGAGCTGCTGATAATTACGTAAAAAGTTTGAATGGAGACGTTTCCTTAATTCACATAAAGACGTTTTAACATTTTCATCAGCTGATCGTTACAGATGACCAGAGACAGACGCCGCTGAAGTGCACGCTTGTCCTCCATGATTAATACTTTCTCCCAGACCTGAGGGTCTATCATGTGTGTGTGTGCACAGCGCTGCGCTGATAACAGATGAGCCCTACTTTTCACTCGCTACCCGGTCTGCAGCATAATGACCAGGAGTCGGGGAGTGACTGAGTCTGGGGAGGTGGCACGAGCAGCATGGAGGAACCACTAGAAATCCAGGGCAGTTGGCTGAGAATTGATGGCCACTCCTAAAGCACACTCTGTCATCCCAACTGTGCTGCTGAACTGGTTCTTGTAGCCAAGTGGTTAAATTTAGCCTTCCCCTGTGTACCAGTGGCTGGTGGGGGGGTGGATCCATCCCAAGGTCAAGCGTCTCTTCCCCTTTTCCTTTCCTCAGCCTGGTTTGGCTGAAGCACCCACCGGATCCTGCAGCCGGAGCTATGGTGTCTATGGTGACTGCAGGTCGGGTCCTGGCTCGGGAGCAAGATCCCAGTTTGGCCTTGAAACCTCGAGTCATTATTTATTCATGTGCCTGCATGCAGATGTCGAGCTGAGATGAAAAGTAGGGCTACGGGCCACTTTTAGGTCTGCTCCTCTCCGTGGATGTGATCCTGCGATGAGTAGGCGCCTGAGTGCAGCTCTTACACCGGGTGATGCTGCGTGGCGCTGAAACCTCTCAGAGTACATCACCTCTGGGGAGGTGCTGGCCCAGCTCTAGCAGACGGGTGCAGAAGAGCTCTGCTCTCTTCCTCCTTTGTTTGACTTTGTTCTTCCTGCGCTTCCACCGAGGCAGCCACGGGGAAGGAAAGGGAAGGTGGAGAGCCGTGCCAAGCTCAGCGGCTGTCATCCTCTGGTTCTTTGTTATAACTCCACCACTTCCCTGGCTGCCTGAAGCGACAGCTCCCTGGTGCAGGCAGATACCGCTGGGGTGGATTCGCCTGTGATGTGCTTATCAGAAGGTTTGCCATCACCTGAGGGAGACTGGACGGCTTGATGTTGCTCCCTAGACAAAGAGATGGAGAATAAACACATGCAGCCCCCATGAGTAGGCATGGGGGGGGGGGGGGGGGGAGCTTCCAATCACATCCGTGGTTTTACTTTAATTCTTTTGTTTCTAAGCATGAAAAGGCCGCAGCTTCTGAAGATGTTTATGCCTGAAACCCCCCAACACTGATTTGGATCAGGTTGACCCCCCACGTCTGCTACGATGGCACACCTTTAAGTGCTGAGGAGCAGATGGAGGCAGGCGCTTTTCCTGGATCACCTTTTGTGCTGCGTGAAGACCTGGAAACTTCCTGTTGTCCAAACCTGAGGAGCAGCACTCTTCTGCCATCTCGTGGCCAAAATCTGAACGACACAATCCTAATGAAATCGCACCACGTGATTAAAGCTGATTAATTTATCCAAGCATTCCTCACTATCTCTTGGAAAATTGTAAATGGGTGCTGGCAAGTTGATGTTTTAGTTTTTTGGTGACTTAATCAGAATTTTAACCTAAAAGTTTGTAAACCTCAAAGCCAGAGCTCCTCCTCCAGCTGTGACCCTGAGCAGGAACCAAGCCCCCATAATCCGGGTCTGGATATGAAGCAAAACAGGAAGTGCCTCGGTCTGGCCTGGAAACTGCTCCGGGATTTTCAGCCTCTCAACTTAGACCATTAGTTGTAGCTTTTGTGCGTCTTTTTGGATATTTTTGTGCAATTGTTGGACAAAATGACTTGCTGTGGTATTAATTGCACTAATAGAGCGTCCAAGGAGTCTCCACTTCATTTCTAAGTAAAATTATATTTATGTATTTATGTCGATGGTTTTAGGTCACTGCCGCTCTTGCGCTAGCTGAACTTAGATTTTAACATGTACTGTTTAACCATCCATACATACATCTATTTTCATCCACTAATCCGGAGTCGGGTCGCGGGGTCAGTAGCCTAAGGCGAGAGGCCCAGATTTCCCTCTCCCCAGCCACTTGGGCCAGCTCCTCCGGGGGAATCCCAAGATGTTCCCTGGCCAGGTGAGAGACATAGTCCCTCCTCCTGGGTCTACCTTTAGGTCTCCTCCCGGTTGGACGTCCCCGGAAATCCTCACCAGGAGGCATCCTAACGAGATGCCCGAGCCACCTCAACTGGCTCCTCTCGATGTGGAGGAGCAGCAGATCTACTCCGAGCCCCTCCTGCATGACCGAGCTTCTCACCCTATCTCTAAGGGAGAGCCCAGACACCCTGTGGAGAAAACTCATGTCGGCCGCTTGTATCCGTGATCTCGTTCTTTCGGTCACTACCCAAAGCTCGTGACCATAGGTGAGGGTAGGAACGTAGAACGACCGGTAAATCGAGAGCTTCTCCTTCTGACTCAGCTCTCTCTTCACCACGACAGACCGGTACAACGCCCGCATCGCTGCAGATGCAGCACCAATCCACCTATCGATCTCACGCTCCAGTTTTCCCTCACTCCTGAACAAGACCCCGAGATACTTAAACTCCTCCACTTGGGGCAGGACCTCATCCCTGACCCGGAGAAGGCATTCTACCCTTTTCCGAATCAAGACCATGGTCTCAGATTTAGAGGAGCTGATTCTCATCCCAGCTGCTCCACACTCGGCTGCGAACCGCTCCAGCGGGAGTACTGTTTAACCATGACATTTAGATGTAATAGGGTAAAATCCAGTGCATTTAACATAATGCTGCACTTAAGAAAATGGGTTGAAATATGACATGTTGGTGGAGCTGGGTTCCCACTATCGGTATGGTCCCCTCCCCCCAGCGGCAGCTCTGCACATCTCTGATCTCAGCGGCGCTTGTCTGCTGTGCGGCTGCCGGCTTGTGGAGGTCTCAGAGACCTCTGTGTTCCACCCGGTTCTACCCAGCGGTCAGCCCGGCGTATCTCTGTCTCAGAGGCTCTGGTGTTGTGCACAGTTAACTCCGGTTGTAGCTAGGTAGCTACCTCCGTTAGCTTAGCTCCCACCTCTGCGTTAGCTTTGGGTTAGCTTGTCGCTACATCGCTTCAGTTCAACGGGTGTCGTCATTTGATCCCAGCCTTACAGCCCCACCCTCAGCTCCTCCTCTCTTCCCTTTTGTGGAATTGTCTGGGCTTGACGGAACCTGTGACACGGTCAAACTGGCGGTGGTGGCCACCTCCCATTTGGCCTCAACAACGTGTTATTGGAGCCTATAGACACGAATTGTCCAGTGTATATGTCGATGGCAGGAACACGTGTGTGGAAGTGGACAGATGGAAATCACTATCTGTTATCAAGCTGAAATCAAACTAATTTGACTTTAATTGAACAAATCTTTTATCTCAGTTCCTAGATTCAGGAGTCAGACGAATTTCTTTGTTTCTATGAAGATGTTTTGTTCTTCATCCGGTCAGAACAAGAGTGCAACGCACCAACCCTGTCAGCTGAAGGAGAGCTTCACTGATGTCGGCTAGCTTATTCTCTCCTGGGGTGGTCGGGGTGATCATGCTCATTAAGCCTTTCTAGTTGTTTGGTTCCCTTACATTGAGGTCAGGTGATTGAAGAGGTCCTGTTCCATATTTGCTGGCTCGACTAGAAGGACCAGGTTCTGGAAAAAGAGAACCTTCTGCTGCATTTCTTATTGAACTTGTGAAACTTTACCTTTTCCTCATCCACGCTAGAACTGGACCATCTCATCACTTCAGTCTTAGCTTGATTGCCATCCATCCATTTTCTTCCACTCATCTGGGGTCGGGTCACGGGGGCAGCAGCCCAAGCAGGGAGGCCCAGACTTCCCTCTCCCCAGCTACTTGAGCCAGCTTCTCCGGGGGAATCCTAAAGCGTTCCCTGGCTCGCTGAGAGACATAGTCTCTCCAGCGTTTCCTGGTTTTCCTTTAAATGTCTTCCCAGTTAGACTTGACCAGAAGACCTCACCAGGGGGCATCCTGACCAGATGCCCAAGCCACCTCAGCTGGCTCCTCTGAATGTGGAGGAGCAGCTTGTTTGCATAAAGTGATTTTAAAAAGTCTTTGGTGAGGTTGTCAGCAGGTGTTCCTCAAGTACCTGTCCTTGGACCACTATTACTCTACATATCACTGATCTGGCACCCATAACTGCGATATGCCGATGACATGGTAGTTTATATACATGTTGGTAGCATGATGCGATTAACATTTGAAAGAACCACGTCTTTCATTAGCTGTTTGCTACTCAAGCTTTAGCGGAGAACACATGTGGTATCTGGGGCTAAACCGGTCTTTCTCTTTATTTTCCAGGTGAAGCTCCCCTTTCCTATTGATCAAATCACAAATCTTCCACGGAATGACTTCCAGATGTTGGTAAAAATGCACAAATTGACCTCGGAGCAGCTGGAGTTCATCCATGATGTGAGGAGGCGGAGTAAAAACCGCATAGCGGCGCAGCGCTGTCGCAAGAGGAAGCTTGACTGCATTCTTAACCTGGAGTGTGAGATCAGAAAACTGGTGAGTGAGGGTCAGGGCAGAGGTGTGCTGATGCTTCAGTGCTCACGGGAACATCGTCATGTTGTTGTTGTTGTTGTTGTCTCCTCACCCTGCGTGTATTTCACTAGGTTTCATTTATGTTTATTTAATACGTTAGATTGGATTCTCAATGTTTTCATTTAACTTTGTGGCTAGATTTGTTTATTGTTGCTAGAGGAGTAAAACAGTTTGAATGTGTGCGTGCGTGTGTGTGTGTGTGTGCGTGCGTGCTTGTGTGTGTGTGTGTGTGTGTGTGTGTGTGTGTGTGTGTGTGTGTGTGTGCGTGTGCGTGCGCGTGCGTGCGTGCGTGCGTGTGTGTGTGTGCGTGCGCGTGTGTGTGTGTGTGTGTGTGTGCGTGCGTGCGTGCGTGTGTGTGTGTGTGTGTGTGTGTGTGTGTGTGTGTGTGTGTGTGTGTGTGTGTGTGTGTGCGTGCGTGCGTGCTTGTGTGTGTGTGTGTGTGTGTGTGTGTGTGTGTGTGTGTGTGTGTGTGTGTGTGTGTGTGTGTGTGTGTGTGTGCAGGTGTGTGAGAAGGAGAAGTTGCTGACTGAGAGGAACCAGCTGAAGGCCTGTATGGGAGAGCTGTGGGAGAACTTCTCCTGCCTTTCCCAGGAGGTGTGCCGGGACGTCCACCTGAGCCCGGAGCAGGTCCAGTCCCTGCACCACTACTGCCCCGTGCTGCGGCCGGCCAATTCCACTGCCAGCAACAGTGCTGCCCCTGAGCTGAGGCCCACCCACAGCGCCCCCGCCACCACCAGCATCGACCTCACCTCCCATTCTGGCTCAGCCACTCCAGAACCCAGCTTCCACGGATCGCCCGGCCCGTCAGAGAACCAGCTCAACTCCGCCGTCAGGAATGGTGCGGACAGAGATGCAGACGACCAAGACACCAGCTTGAACCCAGCATCGGAACGATCCAACCAGACAGTAACGGTGGATTTTTGCCAGGAAATGACTGAGAAGTGTACGACAGACGAGCAGCCGAGGAAGGACTGTACCAAGTAGAACCCGTTTTTGACCCATTTGTTGTTCTGGATGTTTTTGTATTATTTAACTTTACTCCTCTGACAAACCCTCTCTGGGTTGTGAAATGTTCAGCCTTTGCCAGTGTTCACTCAGCAACAAGCTTTGTATTTATGTCCGTGCCGTTTTTATGATGTTTTTATTTGTGTTTGCGTTTTTTTGAACTGTTGACACTAACGTTGTCTTAACAGCAGCAATACTGTTCTACAGACGTTCTTGTACCATGACAGAGGGGGATCCTCTCACCCAGCCCTTACAGTGGTGCTACACTCGCTCCAGCAGGAACCTCTACGGCGGAGACTTTTACGTGTCACAACTCAAAGTTGAACCTCATTGGACCTAAACAGCAGCTCTTTGTTTAAAAACGGAGTCTTTCCCCTGAATCCAGTCGTTGCCACACATCCACTGTAGCCCTGACTGGTTCTCCGTCTGCGCTGTGACAACAGACGTGTGTGCAGCATTAACTCTGAGCTTCTCTAGTCACCTGCCCAAACGGCTGTCCCTCTGGTTAGGCACCATCCACACGAGAAACACACACGGTTCACCGTTTCAGCCTCACGTCCACACAGGTAGGATGTTTCTTAATGATGACATCATAGCCCCACCTTTAACTCATCCTACAAGCCCAACGGCTTCAGGAACCTTTTCTAGGAACCAGAGAAGTTTCCTGGGCCTCTCTAGGGTCCAGGGTCAAACAGATCCCAGGGGAGGATGTTCCCTGCAGGATGAACACCTGAAGAGCAGAGGTGGCTGCTGTGAGTCAGCCTGAAGCTCGGTGTGTGATCTCCACTGCAGCGAGAGAGCAGGAAGCTGTGTGCTTCACGTCAGAGTCTCTGGAAGGCGCCTTTGCTTACTAACTTAAGGAAAACACCACAGACGTCTTTTGCCCCGCCCACATGCTCGGACACATCCGTGTTCCTGAGAGGGGCGTGTGAGCAGAACCTGGCCAGGCTGGGGCGGGCCAGATGTGAAGACGCCATTAGTTTCAGTAGAAACACAACCAACCGGGGCTGTGGTTAAACCGGTAGTCGAACCTGGTTGTGACGCCTCTGTCAGTGCGCCCCAGGGCAGCTGTGGCTCCGCCGTAGCTCATCACCATCAGCGTGTGAATGGATGAATGACACACTTAAGTGTAAAGCGCTTTGGAGTCCTCTGACTCTGAAAGGCGCTATACGAGTGCGGGTCATTTATCATTTCATCAGGATCATGTCCCCTATTGGCCGTCGTCCATGACGGATCCCTGAAGCCCACCTACGTGTGGTCCTCCTCATCATCACCCTTCTTCTCACTCTTCTTGTGTTTACGGTCTTTCCCTCGTGGACAGAATCTGTCTTCTTCTCTGGTTTTAAGTGTGGTTGACAAGCATCTGATAGGTTCCCTTACCTCCACCTATGGTAGGCATCTTGTCAGTTCCCACAATGCATTGCAGGAATATCTGCCCAGCCCACAGAGGTGTAATTATTAAAGTTTTCAGACATCACCTAGAGTGACCGGGTTTCCCTGTGGATGGTGACACGTGTCTGTGTGGACCCGGCTGGAGCTGTTTTCCACGCCCTACTTCCTCGGACTCGTTGATCCCGACTGAAGAACAGCCCCAGACGTTACGGATGAGCACGGATGTATGTAGCAGACTTTTCCCATCCTGATTCTCCTGTGAGGATAAAGACAATCTCCCGCTGGGAGTGCACGTTTTTGGGCATGCCCAGAGAGCGTTCAGACGTAATCCTGCTCACATCCCACAGAAATCCTCTGTTTGTGTGAGAACAGAGCTCCTTCGGCTCGTCTACCTCTTTCTGTCCCGCTCTCTTTCTGTCTCTACGACTCTGTCTCAGTGGCCCTTTCGTCACAGCTACTCAAACTCAGGAAAAACTCTCTGAATGTTCATGAAAAATGAGAAAAGGGTTTCTATACATGACAAAGTTACAATGCAGTGAGACTGTAAATGTTCATATGCAAAAACTCTTCAAGCGTGTCTCATCTGTACGTGTGTCCAGGAGAACTTTGCTGTAACTGAAACATTCCTCCTTTGCCTTCCACAGCACTGAAGCCAGCGGAGAGAAAAGGCTTTTGCAGGTGATTAGATGTTTATTTCCCTCTCATTAGCAATACCATCGTGTTTGGATGTTGTAACCGTGGCCGCTGAGCGCTAGGATGGCAGGCGTGTAAATAGTACGGAGCATGATGACTGTAACGGTGATTTTTGTAGAAATAGAGGTTTAGATTTTCTTTCCCACCGGGGTCGAATCGAGCACCTTTCTGCGAAGGGAAATCGTTGCTTTGCTGTTTCCTGTCCTGCCTAACGAACGCTTTCCATCATGGTGGGTGTTCTTATACTCAGGAAATCAGCTTGTCACACACGCACACACACGCACACACACACACACACACGCACACGCACACACACACACACACACACGCACACACACACGCGCACGCGCACACGCACACGCACACACACACACACACACACACACACGCACACGCACACACACACACACACACGCACACGCACACACGCACACGCACACGCACACGCACACACACACACACACACACACACACACACACACACACTTGCATGGATAAAGTTCTAAATGTGCAGCTCCTCTTACACTTTTCACGCCTCCTTAAATGTGAAAATCTTTGATTTGTTTCTGATCAGTATTTTCTCACTATGAGTTTCTCTGGACGCGGTCAGGAGCAGCTTTTGGTCTTTAAAATGAAGGGGGGGGGGGGGGGGGGGGGGTCAAGCACTTTGTTTTCAGCCCCAAACGCTCGGAGCCTTTTAGCACTTCTGTTTGTTTTTATTTGAAACCCCTGAGAAGTCTGAGACTGGAGCACTTAACCTGGTGCTGCAGAGGTTTCATTATCATAATAAAGGGATCAAATCATTAAAACCACATGTTGGCCTGGGCACCGTCACCTGTGTGGTGAGTCAGCTGGTTTCTACGGCCTCAGACGTAAAAGCAGAGCGTGCGTCGTCCCAACGGGACGCTAACCTGTTTACTTTACCGTGTTTGAACATGTGCATGCATGCTGACGCTAACTATAAGCTAACTTCGGTGGTCTAGCTTCTGTTTTGCTTTGTAAGTCTTCTGTGGAGCAACCTGCTTTTAAAATGCTGTTGTTCTGTTCTGGTTTTTTATTTTTTCTATAAATAAGTTGAGTTAGTCAGAAGAGGCGAGTTACAGACGAGGACAGCAGGAAGTCTCGTTTAGCGCAGAAAGCTAAATTCCCTGTGAGAGGAGGAGAATCGACTGGAGTCACGGGTCAGCGGCTCTGACCTCTGACCTCCTGAGTGGGAACTCCTGCCACACACGACTCTTTAGTATCTGAGGACTCGTGCAGGATTGGGACTTATTTTGAAGTTTTTACCCCAGACTTGCATTCATGTACATTTAATTAAGATCTTATTTGTGAGATTGTGTTTTTCAGTGAGACAAAGTGTCTCTGGAGTGTATTTTAGTGTCCTGTTTCTACAGTTTTAGGATTAATCCCTGTTTTTAGGACACACACACACACACACACGGAGCAGATGTTAACTCCCTGTCTGATGCTGTGATGGAGAGCACAGCTTCTGTCAGCTTCTCATCTCTGATGCAGCCACGCTTGCTCCTGGAAACCTTCGTTTTGCTGTTTGATGCGTTTAACCCACGAGAACGGAGCCAGACATTCCTAAAGAGCTAGTCAGCTAACCGTCTCCAGAAGGAAAAGGGAGGTCCGTAAAAAAAAGGGCTTCTCTGCCACATCGAAGGCTGTTTCTGGCTAAAAGTGATGAATAATTCATATCGCGTGCTTCCTGAAGAGCCTCTGTTCAGAGAAATAGCTTCATGTCTTTCTGGACTGAAGAGCTAACGGCTAGTCCAAACACAGCGAGGGCCATAGTCAGTTGCTGCCATCTAAAATCCCAAACCTCACAGCGGTTGGTGTGATGGTGTTCTTCTAGGCCTTTGCAAGGCCGTGGCATTTGTTCTGGCGGCCATGTTGGGTGTCTAAATGTGGAACTGATGTACAGGTTTATAAAACGATGCAGGATTCAAGATGGCAGCAAACACGCATTCACCTGGCTGCACTCAGACTAGCTGTTAGCATGTCGGTCATGTATTTCTGCTAAACGAGGCTGTTCATGTAGTAAATAATTCTGACGTCAAACAAAAGAAATAAAGTCCCGCATGTAATCGTTTCATTTAAACCACGTCTGGTGTTTCCTCCCGCCTGTGGTGCCCCCGCATCCGGTCAGGTCCGACCGGCTTCGGTCCCGGGTTCACGCTGGCGCACACGCGTGGGGTTGTGGGTTTGATGTGAGCTGCTCAGATGAGACGCCTCGGGGGGGCTCCGTGTCTAAAGCTGCTGTCCCTCTGAAGCGACGCTCTTTGCTGTTTAACTCCCATTCTCAGCATCTCTGACAGACTGTTACGCTTGAAAAGGACAAATGAGTGAAAGTGATTTGGTTGTTGGGGTTAGGGCCCGTGGTTTGTGCTTGATGGGTGTTGGGCCACCGGATGACTGTCGGGACTTGTAGCTGTTCATTACTGTACCGGCTGACTGACGTTAACACAACACGAGTTGATGATTAAATTTGAGTTTGGTCTTTGTTAAACCAAAAACCACGAGTTGAAAAGGTGCTGACAAGCTATGCAGAACAAATTCAGAGGTGGGGAGGACTCTTGATCAGTGGTTGATGTACAAATATATTTTTAATTCTAAGGACTAAAAGGTGTAATATATGAATGAGATATTTTGGAAGGCTTGGTGGACTCAGCTGTTGCATCTATGTGAACATTGCTGTAGCTCTGTAAATGGTTGCTCTTACGTTTATGTTTGGTTTTGCCGCTGCTTCTCACAAACACTGGCTTTTGCAACTCCAAAGGTTGTTCTGAATGAATATGAACAAAAACATGCCTTTTAACAAATCGCTCGACTCCGTGTCAAAACAAAACTAACAGCAGAGACAGGAAAAGCTTCATCTGGAACGGTGGTGGAGTTCAGAGGCTGACATCATTGAGAAACGTTAAAAAAAGGATGATGTTTACAAAAGGTGTCATGTCTGATCCTTCGCCATGCGAGCGCCACTCGGCTCCGCTCTGGACGGGTTCTGGTGTTGCGTCAGAGACAAACGTCCTTCAGCTCGTCTTTCATCCGACATCTGGGACGGGTGGGCGCTGCATGGAAACAAGTGCACCTCCGATATTTGCCTTAGAACTTGCAGAGGCCATAGTTCACGTTGAAGTGACATGAGTGTATGCAGGGGCCCGAGCCCCCACCCCCGAGTAACCAGTGCAGACTTTTTTCACACTTATCTACCTGTGAAATACTTCATACCTCTCATAACTGGTCGATGACTGTATCAGCAAACTGCATCAGGTGTTTTCTACATGCTTTTTACACAGATTATATGGATTATTGTATTAGTACATCATTTTTAATGTGATAGCTCCTAAGCTCGTAGTTCAACTTGTTTTTCTCCTCATTTTTCTAGACGACTGTTTTGTGTTTATATTGTTCACTTGAAATAGCTGTTTTTGATTATTCTCTTCTGAGAGTTCTTACCTAATTTTTAAAAGCTACATGACCCTAATTATTAAATGAATTAATAACCTTTGTAAATACTCTGTTGTGCAACCCCATTCTCATTCATTTCAACTGCTAGTGTTAAATAAATGACTTTTTGTCTAAACAGCGTTTCTCTTTCTGAAATAAAAACATGAGATCATGCACTCTGTGGTGGTTTGTTTGTAAGGAGATGTAATTGGTTCAGCTCTCCTAGATTATCCTCACAAATAATCCTCATCACACCGCATCTGACCTCAAATCATCCAGAGCAGCATCCTGTCCTAGACACGCTGCCCCCTGGTGGAGGCGCTGCATGGAGCAAGGCTAGTTTTACATCTTTATTACTGTTAGGTTGTTGTTGAATGACATCATAAAGTTAAACTGGTTATTACGTAGGTCTGTGGAGGAAGGCTGGAGCACCTGGACAAAACCTGGAGAGAGACAACATGCTAATTCCTTACAGAAAAGCCACAACCTGGATTCAAACCTGCAACCTTCTTGCCGTGAGGCAACAGAGATACCATTCGCGCCGCCATAAGAAAACTTTGTCATTTTAATCTAGAAAACTGCTCAAGTTCTATTTAATCAGTCTAGATTTTTGGCAAATTGTCTCACAGTTTGGTTAAAGTCGTTGAACGTGGAGGAAGACGGGTGCTGGTGGCGAGATGACGACCACGGGACCGTCTGGCAGGCAGCCGTGCACCTGTCCTGGGTACTGCTGCAGCATTCTGTTGTGTGGTCTCATTAGTAAACGGCTCTGACACGAACATGTGAACGTGAGCCGTGTCCAGGGGGTTCGGGGGTGATGACGAAGTCCTTGCTGGTGTCAGGCAGAACCAGAACCAGAACCAGGTCCAGCGCTGAAACAGTTTACTTCTTCATGATTGAAGACAACTCCAGAATCATGCTCTGAAACAACAAATCAATGCTGAGTTATTGTTCAAGTCACAGACAGAAACAACAGTCAGAACATGGACGTAATTTTTTGGGGGGGACAGGGGGGACATGTCCCCCCCCCCCCCCCACACACACACACACTTTTTCCGAAGTCAAGTTTTGACCCCTGTACCTTTTACCATCCAAAAACAATATTAGGCTATATTAAATTGACACTGGTTGAGCTCCAGGACCAAGCAGGAAACAACTGTTTATGTTGAAGCCTGTTTCCTATTAGAGCATACTGTAGAGATCCCCCCCCCCCCCCCCCCGTGTCCCCCCTACTTCTACAGTGAAAATTACGTCCATGAGTCAGAAGCAGGTCTGGTTAGAACATTTTAGATTTTTACTTTGGCCAGTAAAACGATTCCCTTTGAAAAGGATTTTAAAGTTTAAGAGACTTTGGGAACGATGTCCTTTCAGCAGATGTAACTAAAGTGGAGCTTCTTTACCCAGAATTCAAAGCTCCATGGGGTCAATTACTCAGATTATCAGACTTAGTCTGTCCTTGTCAGACACGTGACCTGCATGTCAGCCACACCCCCTTAGCGCCACCTTAGGTGTGTGCCTCGTGTTGCTCGGGTGAGCCACAGCTGAAGCAGGATGGATGAAGAACACGTCCCTTACAGGGATGGACTTCTGAAGGGGCGTGGATCGCTCTGCGGTCGACATCGTAGATCTCTACCACCTCAAAGGAAACAAACGGAGCCCAGACGTTTCATTACTGCTGAAAGTATATCACTCGGGTAAACGTAGCACTACTTCAACATATTTAATAAGTACAAGTAAAAAGTAGCCGTCCAGAAACACGACTCCACTAACACAGGCGCTGGGCCAGGTGTGTTTGCTGGATGGGCCTTCATTAAACAGGTTATTATCGATGTGAGTTACGAGCAGGTGCAGAGACACCAGTCAGAGGTAGACCACACATGTTTGGTTTCATTTTGACCGACAGTTAAAAAAGGGTCATGATGGTTTCTCACACAATAATAAATAAGAAATCACAATTTTTGTGCATTTTTCATTAATATTTAGTCTAAAAACACTGACCAGCGTGTCCGGCAACGTATTCATGTTACAATCAAACGATCTAACTCAAAGTATGAACATTTCACACACACACACACACACACACACACACACACACACACACACACACACACACACGACAAAGTAATGTGTCTATAGTTCTATTGTGATTTCTTAGTGAATATTCTATTAGGTGAAAGATAAACTTTATTGTATATATCCTAGTGGATCTATAATTAAACGGGTAAACTAGTAGTAGCACATCCAACGTCAAAGAGAGTAAAAAGTTATTATCAGGAGAGGGAGAATGTTTAAGTGGTTAGCAGCAGTGTGCTAGTCGATGGCCCCCTCCATGAGGCCACCACAGCTCAGCAGAACGTCGTTGTAGCTTCTTCTGGGGACAAAAACACTTAGAGAGAAAATAAAGTTAACAGCTGAAATAGCAGGAAATAATACAGTTAAAGAGCAGACTGTAGAAGAAAGTAGTCGAGTGTGAAAAGTGGTCAGTGTGTCCTCCAGCAGTCTAAGCCTATAGCAGCATAACTACAGAGATAACTCTGGATAATCTATCCTATTTAGATGGAGGCATGTTGGAGGCAGGGCAAGGGAGAGCCGTCTTTACCGACTGTACACTCCACCTCCCTGTAATCCCCCACTTGTCCAGATTTAGGCTAACATCAGATTTTAACCATAGGCCCTATCAAATAAAAATGTTTTGAGCCTATTCTTAAAAGTAGACAAGGTGTCTGCCTCACGGACTAAAGCTGGGAGCTGGTTCCACAGGAGAGGAGCCTGATAACTAAAAGATCTGCCTCCCATCCTAAGTTTAGATATTCTGGGAACCACCAGTAGACCTGCAGTCTGAGAGCGAAGTGCTCGGTTAGGAACATATGGAACAATCAGATTACTGATGTATGATGGAGCTTGATTATTAAGAGCTTTATATGTGAGAAGAAGGATCTTAAAATCTATTCTGAATTTAACAGGTAGCCAATGTAGGGAAGCTAAGACAGGAGAGATATGATCTCTCTTTTTAATTCTCATCAGAACTCTAGCTGCAGCATTTTGGACAAGCTGAAGACTTTTAACTACATTCTGTGGACTTCCTGAGAGTAATGAATTACAGTAATCCAGTCTTGATGTAATAAATGCATGAACTAGTTTTTCAGCATCACTCCTGGAAAGGATGCTTCTTGTCATGGTCTGCGTTCTGCGTCCCCCTCATGTATTCTCCAGCCCCCCTCTAGGTTCTCCTTATGTGCCTCCTTGTGTTCCCCAGCCCCATTCTGGGTCCTCCCCTTGGGTTTCTGTGCCCCTTTAGGTCTCCAGCCCCTCCAAGTGTGCCTGTAGGATCCCCCTCATGTGTACCTAAGCTTCCTGTGCCCCTGCGTGTCTCCAGCTCCCACCAGGTTTCCCAGGTTCACTTATTCTTTAGTTTTATTTGTATTTATATTATCTAGCTAGTTTTTCCCTGTAGTTTCATAGGTTCAGGTTTTCTTCTAGGTTCCTTCCTTGGTCCTTCCCCACCAGTTGTTCTTTCCTCCTTAGATCATTAGTTATTTGTCTTGTTCTTCTAGTCTTTAGGTTTGGTTATTATTCATAGGTCATGTTCTATTTCCCCTCCTCAGCTTAGATTCCCCTCCCTGATTAGTAAATTGATTTGACCAGGTTTCTCTCTCCCCACGCACCTGCAGCTCATCTCCCAATCATCCTGCCCCGTGTATAAAACCCTGTCTGTGTCTCACTGCTGTGTTGGTTCATTGTCCTGGTCAGCGTTGTTTGTCAGAAATCAGAAGGATCAGAAAATCAGAAAAAGGTAGAATTCCTTCTCCAGGTCACTAAGATGAATGGAAGCCAATGAAAGGTCCTCACAAGGATACAAATACAAGTGTGTGTGTGTGTGTGTGTGTGTGTGTGTGTGTGTGTGTGTGTGTGTGTGTGTGTGTGTGTGTGTGTGTGTGTGTGTGTGTGTGTTTAGCTGTACCTGCTGTAATCAGTTTGCTATGTAAAAAACCCACAATGATAATTATGAGCAAAAACATCAAATTAATTGATCAAATGTGGGAAAATCTATTTATGATCATGTCCTGATTGCAGAGCAGCTATCTGTCATCGTGTTTTTAAACGAGTGTGTTTGTAGCGCGCATGTGGTCGATTCTTACAGAACATATGTCTAGCTAATATTTTATTTGGGGTTGGATGCTGTCAGTGTTTCTGCTGGACTGCTCTAACATGGATGGTCTAATGGAAGCGTTATTGTGAATAACAGTGATTTGGGAATGTTTTTATTAAAATGTACTTTCTTCACTTCTGCCCTTTAAACCCTATTATTATAATTTTATTTGAAATTATCATTAATCAAATTAGAGCGAGACCAAGGTTCTCCCTAGAGGGCGCTATAGTGCCCCCCAATGCCAGATCTACAACAGACGGGCCAGAGCTCAAATCAAAAACAACTGGACCGAACCGAACTGGACCAAACCGGACTGGACCGAACTGGACCGAGACATTCCTAAGAACCACAAGCAGACATGGAGCTTTGTTGTGGCTCGCACCTCGCTCAGCAGAACGGATCTGCACTGCAAGGCATGAGCAGAGGAGTTGGTTTACAGTAAACTAAAACACCTGTACTGGTTTAGTCGAGTTAGGAGGGAGCTCTAACGCGAGGCAGCAGTCATGCTGGTAAACTTCCTCACCATGGACATCCTCCTCCCACCCGCTGGAGGAGGTGGGGTCATGACCGGGCTCTCCCCTTGGTTGAGGTGCTGGGTTTCAGAGTCAGTTCCGCTCTGAGAGGCGCCGCTGTCAGACGGGCTGGCCAGCTGGGCCTCGGACAGTCCTCGGGACATGAAACTGCACTTCCTGGCGGTAGGGGGGTGATCGCTCTCTGGGGAGTCACTCATGTCGCTGAGCTCTTTGTAAACACTCACTTTGCTCAGCTTCCTCTGCTGGTTCTTCAGGGCTGCGGGGATCTCCATGTGACTGCCCACCAACGTTTCTCGAGGATTTGAAAAGCGTGGCTTGATTGAACCCTGACGTCCGTTTGAATCGTCACTGCTGCAGGACGGCTTCCTGTTGTCCAGAGAGTGACGCTGCTCAACGGCCCCCAGCTGCTGCACGCCGTGGGTGTCAGTGAGGCTTGGCCGGTACATCTGAGTGGGCGGCTGGCTCGAGCTGGTCAAGCCCTCCAGGTTCTGAGAAGACCTTGGTGCCAGGTTGTAGGGCAGGACCTCCCCCAGGACCAGCTTGTGTGGCTCTGCCGCAGCAGGACAGGAGACCTGGGTGAGCTGCATCAGCCTCTGTGGAGAGTTGCTGAGCAGACCAACCTGCTGCACCACGGAGTTCTTCTTTGACCTGCACACGCTGTCATCGTCTCCGTACTTGTACCCATACAGGCTCTGTTTGATCTTCTTTACTCCCAGATGGAAAATCTCCAGAAGGTTGAGGAACAGAGAAACTCCAGCGACGACGAGCATGAACACCATGAAAATGTTCTTCTCTGTTGGTCGTGACACAAAGCAGTCCACGCTGTTGGGACAGGGCGACCGCTCACACTTGTACAGAGGGGACAGCCTGACGCCATACAGGGCACACTGACCCGTGATGAAGCCCACCTCCACCACAGACCTGGTCAGGATGTGGAAAACATAGGTACGCAGCAGAGAGCCTCTGAGAGGGGCTTTTCTTACTTTCTTCTGCTCGTCCAGCTTCCTAAGTTCTCGCTCGATCCTTTTGTGGTCCTCCTGGTCGGGGTCAGCTCCCTCCAGCTCGGATTTCAGATAAGCTTTCTTCTTGTGTCTCTCTTTGTCGAGAGTCCTCAGGCGGTACAAGGCATGGCCCATGTAGACCAGTGAGGGCGAGGACACGAAGATGATCTGCAGGACCCAGTAACGTATGAGTGAGATGGGGAAAGCCTGGTCGTAGCAGACGTTCTTGCAGCCAGGCTGCTCCGTGTTGCAGACAAACTCACTCTGCTCATCGTCCCAGACGTCTTCGGCTGCAACGCCGAGCACAAGCATCCGGAAAATAAACAGGATGGTGAGCCAGATCTTCCCCACAATGGTGGAATGGATGTGAACTTCTTCTAAGATGCTGCCCAACAGGTTCCAATCCCCCATCTTCTCTCATATCATCCCCGGCTCTCAGGAGTCGCAGAAACATCCAAAAGCTCTAAAAAGGTTGAACAACTGTGACAAAGTGTCGCTACAGGTGCTCTGCTGTCCCTGTGGGGGGACTTGATGCAGCACGGTTATTTCCGTGGTGACAGAGACCCGACAGTGCACCCAGGCTGACACCGTTCCATCGCTGCTGCAAACTAGGACTCCTGTTTGAACCTATCGATCCACCACATGAGCCTGTAACGCCCTGAGGGGGGTTCACCCTGCCACGGTTTTATTAGGACACAAAACTAGAAATAGCACAGATGGAGATGTTCACGCAGCTCCCTCACACCACGGATGACTTTCCTCTGAAAGCCAGCCTCGCTGTAGCGTCAGTCCACCTACATGAACCACAGGTATCAGGTCACACACCTGTCAGCAGGAATGGTTCTTTCAGGTTTCTTCATACATGTAGATATTTGAGCCATACACACTCGGTCACACCTCCAGTAGTATCTGGTTAGTCGCCCCGGGCCTCGACCACTCTTTAGGTCTCCAAGCGCCCGCTTTAGTCCCGCCTGATTTTTGACTCTTGAATTTCTTTAAACGGGCCAGCTTCTTGGCACATACCAGACCTTTAATCATCCACAATGGGTTTGCTTTCAGACTGGAAGGTCCTTCAGAGACGTCAGCCTGCTTCATCCTAGCTGACATGTTTGGGATGATCGTCCTGGTGGACCCAACTCCGTCCAAGCTCAGTCATCTACTGATGGAGTAAGTGGTGAGGTCGTAGACCCTGGAGGTAGTTCCTCTCCTCTTCCTTCATTCTACCATCCACTTTGTGCACCAGACCCACATCATGATGCTGTCACCACCATGCTGAACTGTTGGTTCAGACGTCTGCTCCTTGCATCCAAACAGCTCAACAATTGTCTTGAGCATTCGTGGTTTATTAACTTCTGCCTGATCCGGTTTTCTGCTGCAAACAGAAACAACCATCTGGAATCATTCCTCATCGGTGTTGTTTGTCCTCCTGTCTCTGATGGACGACTCACAGGTTCCCAGTGGGACTGAGGTGCTCCATGACGCTGGAGAAGACATTGATCACATCTCATCCTCTTCACAGGCTCTCAGGATGCCTCCATCAGGGACACGCTGGACAGGTGTCCAGTCCATCAGACTCTGAGACAGCCACTCACGACTAGTTAACTTGACACGCGTGCTTCTGGGCTGGAGGACACCGGAGCAGCCCGTCTCCTCCCTTACCACCGAAACCTCAGAACGTTTGGGTCTCTGAGTGACTGCATGATGGAAAGAGCCCCGCCCCCAGCCATTAGTCATGTATTCAGATGTGTTAGAGAAACACATTAATGACTGATAGAAGACACTTCCAGTTCTTCCCACACAGGAATTTTTATTCTCAGGAACGTAGGAAGGTTCTAGCATAACAACAAAAGTATTCACACTCGTTTTGGAACATGTAACAAAAGCTAAAATACAAAAGCACAGATTCTGCACCAATTTCATAGTCGAGTTTTTCTGTAAGAAAAACAAAATAGTCTGAATATCAGCAAGTATCCAGATCCGAGGCTGTAGTGGTGGTCCTGGTGAGTTCTGCTGAAACCAAAAAGTGCATCTACAACAATGATTCAAGGCTGCTGCTGCTCCAGGCATCAAGTTCACACCTCGCACAAAGGTTCCACCCAGAAATGCAGATGTTTAGTGACCTTCAGCCCAGCGCTGGTGCTGTTCTCCTGCTGCTCCGGATCAGGTCAGGTGTCCATCTTCTGCTTCTTGAACAGCTTCATGAGCTGGTAGAACCTGTGAGCAATCTAGAAACCCAGAGTCATCCATTAATTCAGCTCAACAACGCGTGATGCAACAGTGGAGATGGGGTCACCTGGCCCGAGGGCTTGTTGAGCTTCTCTGACAGCGCATTAAAGGTTTCTCGTGAAGCACCGTTCTTCTTCAGATCCACCAGGATGGCCCGATCTTCATCTCTGGAAGAGAACAAGGATACTGTTAAACTTCTCCAGCCGGACCTCCAGCATGGTCCTAGTGCAGAAGAATCCCTCCGGTGTGTAAAACATCATCCAGCCCTACACACGCGCGCTGCCCCCTGGTGGACGCAGCTTTTACTTCTGTTACATAATAATGAACAGCTGATTTGGGTTGAACTCAGAAGTTGGGTCTAAAATCTGGATGTTTCTGTCATTACGTTTGTTGAGTAAGTGGAAACTTAAAGTCTCTGATAAAAAAGATGTTTGTTTTGATTCGGTGACCCGATTCTGGAATGTTCCAGCTCTGGGCTGTGTTCGGTACCAGCGGAGCCTGTTCTGGTTCATCTCTACCAACGGGACTCATGACTCTTCTGATGGTGGTTCTAGAGATGCATCACTGGTGTGTTACCACTAGAGGGAGCCACCACCGGCTCCCTCTAGTGGTAACACACCAGTGATGCATCTCAGCTGATTCGGACCACCGTCTGGTTTTGGGTCAACCAGGACAACAGTCCATCCAGCTGACCACGTTTCCATCCTGGTGTCAGTGGTTCTGAATGGCTTCTTCTAGCTAGCACCTAGGCCGTGACGATGAAATGTGAGTGTACTTTTACAGCTACTGACCTGGTCCATGCCATCACCACCTCGCCCTTCTTCCTCACCAGGTTCTTGGCTGACAGGCTGCTGGGTGACAGGGCTGACGGCGACAAGTTTGACTCCTCATTGTCCTTTCTAGAAGGAGTCATCTCCCTAAGACTCTCCTCTTCACCTCTGCACTTCTCGTCTTTTACTTTCTCCGTCTGTTTCTTCCTTTTTCTGATCTGGTTGCAGATCTTCTGGTCTTTTCCAGGCGAGCCAGCGGCGTTGATGGTGGGCCTCCTCCGGGATTCCGGAGCATCCTGTGGTATGTGGCTCTGCTGGTTCTGGATGTGTGAACACTTGGTGTCCGCAGAGGAACGGAGCGGTTCCTGTGGTTCCTCTGAAGGAGGTTCCTGCCTTGGATTTGTTGGATTTTCTGGAAGATCACCCATGACCGAGTACTGGTCCGACCCTGAAGCTTTGTTCAGGTCTGAAGGTAAGTTCTCCTCAGGACAACCTGTGGAGGGACTATGTTCAGTAGATGTATCTTCACCTGCGTTTGGTGGACTATGTTGAGCGGTTATGCTCTCCAGTAAAACAACATGGTGGTCTGACTCATTTCCTATCTGGCCAAGTCCAGAGTCTCCAGTGATGTTGGGACGGTGGTCATCTGAAGGTGGAGCACCGGGATCATCTGGAGACTTGTCTGTTAACCCACCGTGGTCTTTGGGCTGCTGATCTTCTGCTAACCTCTCTTCAGCGTTGACCGAAACGCTCAGGCTCGTCTTTGCGTGTTGAATTTTGACAATGAAGTGGTCATTGGACTTCTCGGTCACCAGAGCTCTCATAGGGACGTCCGGCTTGAAGACAAACGGGGTCGCCAGTGTCTCTGAGGTCACACTGCTGCTGTTGCCAGAGCTGGAGTTGTCCGTGTCCAGGATCAGGCGAATGTCGTGCTCTGTAGCGTCTTCCTCGTCCAGCCGGGCGTCCTCGCTGAAGTGGGCGCTGATGACGCTGTCAGGAGTGGACCCCATCTGCATGCTGGACGGCTGCAGGAAGCTGAGGTGGCTGTCGGACTTTAAAGGAGAGGGAAGGGTTAGAGACACGGCCAAGTCTTCTGCCAGGATGGAGTAGGACTTCTGGCTCGTCTGCAGCAACATCCGGTTTTGTGATGGGACTTCCAGGAGACAGCTTTCATCAAACACGGCAGGGTTCAGGGGGATGGTGTGTTTGGCTTGAGGAGACAAGACTCTGTGAGGAGAAATACTGCTCCACGTCGCAAGGAGCTTGTGTGGAGTATCAAACTTGGCCGGGGTGAGCAGCTTGGAGGGGGAAGAGAACTTTGATGGTGTGGTGATGCCGAGGAACCTTTCTTCATCTTTTCTTGGAGTACCAAATGCCCACGCCATGCCGTCTCCACCGAGCCCACCACTGTCCAACAGGTCCGACCCTTGGAGGAGACACTTGAATATTTCCCCCATCTGAGCATCTCTCACCAGATTGTACGTCAGACTGGAGGTCTGCTGCTCTGTGAGAAGCTCAAAGTCCGTCTTATCCAGCATGGAGCTGTTCTGAGAGACCAGCAGAGAAGAAATTCTTGTGTCAGGGGTCTGGGGAGGACTTTTACAGGGGAGGAGTTCAACCACAGAGTGTGTGTTCTGGTAGTTTGGTGGATTGCTGTTCACCTCTACACTCGTCATCCTGATGTCTTTGCCTCTGCTTCCCAGGCCAGTTCTGTAAGAACTGGTCCGGTTCAGACCAGGAGGCTGAGGAGCCTCCTTCGGTTTACACTGTGACTTCTCCACAGAAGCCTGTCCAGACTTTCTGTCCTCCGCACTGGACTTCCTGTCCTCTGCACTGGACTTCCTGTCCTCCGCACTGGACTTCCTGTCCTCCGCACTGGACTTCCTGTCCTCCGCACTGGACTTTCTGTCCTCCGCACTGGACTTCCTGTCCTCTGCACTGGACTTCCTGTCCTCTGCACTGGACTTCCTGTCCTCCGCACTGGACTTCCTGTCCTCCGCACTGGACTTCCTGTCCTCCGCACTGGACTTCCTGTCCTCCGCACTGGACTTCCTGTCCTCCGCACTGGACTTTCTGTCCTCCGCACTGGACTTCCTGTCCTCCGCACTGGACTTTCTGTCCTCCGCACTGGACTTCCTGTCCTCCGCACTGGACTTTCTGTCCTCTGCACTGGACTTTCTGTCCTTAGCCAAAGCTTTGGCTGGTTTGCAAAGACTCTTCAGAGTCCCATTTATGTCCTTGAATAAATAGTCCACTTGAATGTCCACAAAGTCCCAGAGCTTCTGCTTCAGGTCCACAGCTTGCTGCTCAAAGATGCGCTTCACGATGCCGTTATTTAAGACTTTGCAGAAGACAGAATCTATGAGTTTCCTCAGCTTAGACTTCAGCTCCTCTGGATGACTGCAGATCTGACCAAAATCAGCACCCTCCACAAACTCCACAAAAGACTTCTGAAAGTTGTCCATCACACCATAGAAGCTCTTCTTGGGGAACGTTTTATGGAGCTTCATGTACTTTTTTCTGATCTCAGTTCGAACCACCTTAAACGTCTCCATTATCTCCTCCTCGGTGGAAAAGGAAGCCTTGCTAGCAGCAGGACAGACAGTTTTGAAGCGACTCCTGGGACTTGGTGTTGATGCTCCTGCTGCTTCACGTGTTTCTCTAGGAGACACCCGCCTCTCTTCAGATCTTTTCCTTAACACAGGAGCAGCACTGGTCTTATTTCTGACTGGCTCTAGTGGAGGTGGCCTCTTGGTGGCTGGAGCATGTGGACTGGAAGCCTCATCACTCTCACTTAAAATTTCCCCCTCTTCCAGATCAGTGTCAGCAACACTCAGTGGTACATCGGATCCCACCGTCACCTGGTTCTGGGTTTCACATTTGGAAGGGGAACCTGGATATGTGCCGTCTTTGTTTACATCCAACTTCTTTGAGCTGGGATCAGCGGCAGAAGTGGAAAAGTCTGTAAATGACAAGAGGAGAGAAAGTTAAATGTGCAGGATGGTGAAAAAACATCTAAATCTCTAAACTCCCCATGCATGTGTGGAGTTAGCGTGTTCTCCTCATGCATGTGTGGAGTTAGCGTGTTCTCCTCATGCATGTGTGGAGTTAGCGTGTTCTCCTCATGCATGTGTGGAGTTAGCGTGTTCTCCTCATGCATGTGTGGAGTTAGCGTGTTCTCCTCATGCATGTGTGGAGTTGGCGTGTTCTCCTCATAAATGTGTGGAGTTAGCATGTTCTGCTCATGCTTGTGTGGAGTTAACATGCGTGTGTGGAGTTAGCGTGTTCTCCTCATGCATGTGTGGAGTTAGCATGTTCTCATGCATGTGTGGAGTTAGCATGTTCTCCTCATGCATGTGTGGAGTTAGCGTGTTCTCCTCATGCATGTGTGGAGTTAGCGTGTTCTCCTCATGCATGTGTGGAGTTAGCGTGTTCTCATGCATGTGTGGAGTTAGCATGTTCTCATGCATGTGTGGAGTTAGCATGTTCTCCTCATGCAAGTGTGGAGTTAGCGTGTTCTCCTCATGCGTGTGTGGAGTTAGCGTGTTCTCCTCATGCATGTGTGGAGTTAACGTGTTCTCCTCATGCATGTGTGGAGTTAGCGTGTTCTCCTCATGCATGTGTGGAGTTGGCGTGTTCTCCTCATGCATGTGTGGAGTTAACGTGTTCTCCTCATGCATGTGTGGAGTTAGCGTGTTCTCCTCATGCATGTGTGGAGTTAGCGTGTTCTCCTCATGCATGTGTGGAGTTGGCGTGTTTTCCTCATACATGTATGGAGTTAGCATGTTCTGCTCATGCTTGTGTGGAGTTAACATGCGTGTGTGGAGTTAGCATGTTCTCCTCATGCATGTGTGGAGTTAGCATGTTCTCCTCATGCATGTGCGGAGTTAGCATGTTCTCCTCATGCATGTGTGGAGTTAGCATGTTCTCCTCATGCATGTGTGGAGTTAACATGTTCTCCTCATGCATGTGTGGAGTTAACGTGTTCTCCTCATGCATGTGTGGAGTTAACATGTTCTCCTCATGCATGTGTGGAGTTAACGTGTTCTCCTCATGCATGTGTGGAGTTAGCGTGTTCTCCTCATGCATGTGTGGAGTTAGCGTGTTCTCATGCATGTGTGGAGTTGGCGTGTTTTCCTCATACATGTATGGAGTTAGCATGTTCTGCTCATGCATGTGTGGAGTTAACATGCATGTGTGGAGTTAGCATGTTCTCCTCATGCATGTGTGGAGTTAGCATGTTCTCCTCATGCATGTGTGGAGTTAACATGCATGTGTGGAGTTAGCATGTTCTCCTCATGCATGTGTGGAGTTAGCATGTTCTGCTCATGCATGTGTGGAGTTAACGTGTTCTGCTCATGCATGTGTGGCTTTTCTCCCACAGACCAAAAACAAGCTCATAAGATACTTGACTATGTTTACATCATCAGTTGTAATTCACTTTGAATTAATGCTGAATAAATAACCCAAAATCACCACAAAAACAGAAAAAAAAAACAACCTACAAAAGGGCTACAGAAGCACGTGTCAACCACCACCATGAAGCATCATAACGACGTCTCCTGGAGGCCGGGACACATGTGTAGTGAACTAAAACCATGTAAGCATTAGTCAGGCTCACCCTTATGAAGACGCTTGACGTGTCCAGGCTTGTTCTGGATGAAGACCAGGCTTCGTTTAGTGATCCGAACTGGGCTCCTCAGAGGGCTGATGGCGTCAGGAAGTCTTCTGAGACCACTCAGCGTACGCATCATGGAGTCCTCATCATGGAATAATGGCACAGGACTGGGCATGTCCATGCTGGACCCATGGACCTTTGTTGGGTATTTTTGGGGAGTAACGGAGAGAAGGTTGTACTTGTCCGGTAGTGTCTTCTCCTCCGTGGTGCTGCTGACCTTGGACACACCAGTGCAGCCTGGACTAGGATGAGCCAGGCCTGGACTGCCTTCCCTCAGGTCCACATCCGTTTTAGTTAAAATGTAGATGGCCTCTGTTAGACTCACCCCTTCCTGTGGGACAGAGTCCAGGCTGGTGGTGCTCGATACAGAGTCTGAGCCTCTTGTACCTTCTCGTTCACCAGGAGTAGCACTGGTGGAAGAAGGAGAGCAGCGGTCCTGAAGGCACATGGGAGGTGAGTAAGCAGGAGCTTTACCACCTTTGAGACAATCCTCTTTAGCTACGATTTCAGAAATGTCCATGTCTTCAGAGTGAGACATGACCGTGCTTCCTGTGGTTGTGTCGTGAGATCTTCTCTGAGGTTCTCCTGTTAGTTGTTCTCCAACACCAGCAGGAGGATCGGAGGTGTTACTGGGGACGTTTCCCAATGTGCTGCTGGAGCAGGACTTATCTGTGACCTGGCTGTTTGGGGCCACCACAGCTCCGTCCTCACAAGGCTCAGACACGTCCACCAACTTTGGCACAAGGTGGACTTGATCCACCGGATCCAGTAGCTGGATCTGACCTGAACTGTCAGCTCTGTCCTCTTTCTGGACATCCTTCAGGTTCTCCATCCTTCTCTCGGTGATTGTGTCTTTAAGGGGACCTGGAGACGGGCCCGTATGATCGAAGTCTAGATGGCAGTTGTCCACCTCATCGATGACACACATGTCTCTGATGTTGATCTGCGAGTCCTCTTCATCTGGTTTGGTCTCAGCACCTTTCTCTGCTGGCTCGTCAGGGCTGGCGTTTGGAGACTTTTTATTTGGTGAAAGAGTCAGGTTTAAAATTTCCATGAAGCACAACTTCCTGTTTGGACTACTTCCATCAGTGACTGGTCCTTCTGGAGGTCTTTTAGGAGTCCGCTCAGGTCTTTTCTTGTCCACCCGGTCTTTACTGCCATCCTTAGGTCTCGGTTTGTCGCGCTCTCTGCTGGTCGGAGGGTGACTGCTCCTGTGGTGTCTTCTGCTGCTCTCGTGGTCTCTGTGGGCCTTCCTCTGAGGATCCTTCTGCCGGTTTCCTTCTCGGTCTTTATTACGTTCGCCATGCTGACCTGAGGAGTTCTTCACATCCTTCGAGCTCGAGTGTTTCTCATGTTTGACGTTTTTGTAATCTGAACCTCCTCTGGAGCCTAAAACCTTGATGATGTTGTCTGCAGAAGCTTTTTGGGTTCCATCTGGCCTCTGGTCCTGCCTGTCCTCCTTCTTGTGCTCCAAGGAGGATGAAGACGTTTTAGATCCACCTAACAGGAAGTCCCCCTCAACGCGTTTCCTTTTGTTGCATGACTGGTAATCAGACGTCCGCTCGGTGTCTTCTCTGCGAGTCCGTTTGCCCTTGGAGTCGTGAGAGTCCTTGTTGGAACGCCTTCCGTCGGCTGACTCAGACGGTTTCCTGAACCTTTGTTTGTCTGGTTTAGTCGGTCTGTCTGCTGATTCCGGGTCTCTGGTGGGACGTTCGTGCGAGGAGGCTTCAGAAGATCTGGATGAGGAGGTACTTCCTTTCCGAGAAGCCTGAGCCGGATCTCCTGAGGGATTGGACTTCTGGGACTGGGGAGCTGGAGGAAGACCTGAAGAGGGCAGTGGGGTTGGCCTGCTTTTGGAACCCGCTGTGGAGGTCTGAACGGAGGAGTTCACATGTTGAAGGCGATTCTTCTCAGACGGATGGTTGATTCGACCTCTCTCAACCCTTTGAAGAGCAAAAAGTAAACAATCATTCAGCAGGAACCATAAACACTGGTGGGTTCCCAGTAAGCAAAACAGCATCTGACTGGGCCGTCGTCAGGGAAACAACACACACACCTGAACCAAGACACACACCCCTTAGCCTGTTTCAGGGGAACCAACACACCCCTGGGTTGTCGGGAATCGTGGAGCGGACCACGCCGAACCCGGACCAGGCACCCCCCCACCCCAGACCCGGGGCAGAGCTCCTCCCAGGGGTGGACCAGACTACCTGCCGGTAAACGTAGATGGCTGCCCGACGTCCAGAGCTCTGCTGTGGGAGGGGCGTTCTGCCACCAGGTCCTGACTAAAGGAGACCGCCTCCTTTTAAACATGAAACCGAATCCTTTGTGGAAGAAACCTGATCAAACTGTAAGATCAGGAGGGTGAGCGACTCGGGAATGTTTCAAGATGTTTGGAGACTCCTTTTCCTGCTTGTCGTCAGCCCAGTGAGAGGCTAGCGTTAGCTTAGCATCGGTGTGAGTTTACAGGAAATAGAAAGAGACTTTCTGCTTTTTTACTGGGAAAGATCCATCTTTCTGGTTTTAATTCAAACGGCTCAGCCCTACAGCCTGGTATCAAAGACGGAGCGTACCACTGGGTCAGCCTCTGGATCTCAGCGTCTTTCCGGGTCACTTCCTGCCTGGCTGTCCGCAGCAGAGCAGAGATGTTCTTCTTGAGGCTGTGGTTCTCTTTACTCAGGCCCAGATTCTGATGAGAAAGGAAAGTTGGTGTTTTATACGAAAAAGACTTAACCCATCCGCAGCGGGAGAGAGACAAAGTGCTACATACCTGGACTTCCATCTGCTCCAGCCTTGTGTGCAGGTCTCTAATCTGGGTTTGAGCTTCTTGTAGTTTAGACTTCAGCTGCAGGACAAACACAGAGGAGGCTGAAGATGACCGATCATCTTCGTGAAGACCCTCATCCACCAGAGGGCGCTAGCACCCACACAGGGCAGCTTCTCTTGGTGCTTGAAAGTGTTTCTCCTCTCATCCTAAAGGTCTCATCAATGTGTGGGGCCCTCAGACTCGACCTCAGTGTGTGTGTGTGTGTGTGTGTGTGTGTGTGTGTGTTGTTCTACCGACGACTCTTAGCTCTGAATCTCCAACCCAGGACCACAGTGAAGAAGCCTTTTGAAGGAGAGGAAATGCGCCTCTGAGCAACAACAGAAGACATCTAGTGTCCCTGTTGGACATCGTTGAAGGCTTGTATTGTCCAGGAGTTAAGGCCCAGATAACGTTTTACACCAGGATGTGGAGGAAACGGGTCAGAACTACGTGTTCTAGGGCTGCACGGTCAGTAGCAGGGCTGCCTGGCAGCTCAAGAGTTGTCGGTTTAACACCCGGCTGCAGCCTTTTAACGTCAAGTTTGTACATGTGGGTGTCCTCTTGTGTATGTAACCATAGCCGAATGTGAGTGTATGGACATTTGTCTCCATATGTTCCTGTGATGGACTGAAGACCTGAACTATGACAGTACAGCCCTAGAAATGCTGTCCAGTTAGCCTCAACCCAGAAGGGAATCAGCTCATGTCTTCTGGAGTCAAAGTTCGGACCACACAGGGTCGTGAAACGGACCGACGGCCGCAGACAGCAGCACGAGGGTGACTCACCTCATCGTACGAGGACTCTCTACTCAGCTGTTCTTCTGCCACCAAGTCCTCATACAGGTCCAGAGACTCTCTCAGCTCAGAGCACACAGGAGAGGACTTATCTGACGAGCAAGAAAAACACCCGAATGAGCTCAGATGCAGCAAGACTTTAAAACATCTGGAAACATCTGTAGCAGATCCATGCCTGCATTGCTGCTAATCCCAACGCCCAGGTCACCATAGAGGTCCATCGAGTCTTCACTGACACCAGGAGGCAGAGCTGTAGACACACGGATGAATGCTTTAATACCTGGGGGGTTACGAATGGTGTTAGCAGCTGGGATGAGCGGACTGATTAAGTTACATCCCTTTTAAACGGGGCTGGGACGTTTCCGGAGAGGTGGATATCTACTGACACTGAGAACTTTAGGTTTTATATAAAACGATTGTTAACTCACAGCCAGACGCTTCTCCTGCCTCCATCTTCTCTAAAGTCCTTTTGATTGCTGTCAGCAGAACCTGGAAAACAAGCAGAACCGTTCAGTTTAATCTGAGAAAACAAATAAATGCCAAAAACCCACAATTCATCCGGAGCATGCCTGATCATCTAGAGAAATGACTCATTCAGCTGGCTCGTCAGCCAGTTTGAACCTCGTAAGAACAAAGTTATAAACACCACAGGACTGGATGTGAAACATCTGAGCTGCTCCTCCACCAACACCAACATCTACACCAGCCAGGACTTCCCGACCAGACACCTCCGGACAACCGGCGCACGTTGGGTCAACGAAGCGGGAAAAACCGAGATCACTATTTAACTAGATTAAACTTAGTTACGGTTTAACTGCTGACTTACTTGCATGAGTATTTTGTCTTTGTGACGTTTTCAGTCCTAGAGTCGCGCCAAGATTCTCCACACAGGAAGTAGTCACATTTAACCGCGGCGCGCGCGCGGCTCTCTGATTAGCCTGCTCTCTCTGTTGGTTTTTTTGGGAGAAAAACGCTCAAACAGGGAAAAACGCCTAAAAGGTCCAACTGGACCGGAACTCGCCCGTGGTTCTGTATTCTGTCACCGCCAAACGAAGACCAGAAAACGGTGAACATAACCGTAAACGACTGAAAGCTGCCTCTAGCTGAAAATACACCATAGCGTCACTATCCGGTTGAACGTCATCACTGTGCGACAGAAGAAGGCGGTCCGGAACCCGGAAACAGTCAGCCCACATGTGCGCGAGACTTTTAACAGCAGCACACGCGAGTTAGTGATGAAGTGTGATGTTTTTGTCATTGCGGCGTTAGAATCGGGATCGTGTTGGTAAGGTTGTCGGTCCGGATTTAGTTGTAGCTGGTTCTGGTCAGAACCGAACCGTAGGATGGAGCATTTAGAGGTAAACCTGACGTCGTTGGAGATCATTTGCAGACATGTGGACAAAAGTCACTCCCAGATTCACCGGTACTTGCCAAAGCAGGTAAGACATGGATCTTTTCGTCTCGGATTCATAAGTGAACACGTGACAGAACCGGTTCTGAGTGAGCTGTCAGGACCGGGTCAATCCTCCAGTACCGCAGGCACTGTGGGTGAACCGGGTCTGAACAGCAGGCCACATAATAAAGGACTGCTTCGGTTGATTATTTATATAGCTGCTTAGCATCACAGCTGGTTATGGAGTCAGCTGACGTGTCCTGTAAATGTAAACAAACCAACTCTCCTTCACACTCTTGGTCTGGTTCTGACCAGGTTCTGACATTTATCAGTGAAGTTTGAGTCCGATCATCTTCAGTTTGATCTGAGTGACTTCAGTCTGGGAGAAAAGGAGAGACAGCAGGAGCGATTTGTGGCAGCGGCAGCACGAGTGGCACTTGCAGTGGCAGCTCTGATACTTCCGGGTGGTGCCACGGCTTTTAGTGGCACCCGCGGCTTTTAGTGGCACTAGCCACGCCCCCTACCACTGCTGCCATTACACTTCCGGGTGGTGCCACGACTTTTAGTGGCACTAGCCACGCCCCCTACCACGACTTTTAGTGGCACTAGCCACGCCTCCTACCACTGCTGCCACGGTACCTGCGGCTGTAGTAGTGACCTCAGTAATTGCAGCACTTATTGCATCATCGGCCTCATCATGCCAACGTTTTTATTTTTTACTTTATTAACAAAATCAAAACAAACAAGGCTGTCACCGAAAATATTTGAAATATTTCAAGCGGTTTACAAATGCGTTTCCCAGTCACTTCATGCATATACAGTGTAATGCAATCAGAAGCGTTAATGCATTTATTTTTTCCATCATTTTTGTTGCTCCCCCAGACGAATCCGTGACAGATCTAGTGGAAGAGCCACAGACACTTCCGGGTGGAAGACCGGCGGTGGGTCACCGGCCTCCGGTACAGAGTCAGGAAAAGCAGGGGAGCACCAGAGCCAGATGGAGAGCGCCAGAGCAGTTCTCAATTTCTGAAATAATTTATGACAACTGCTACCAATGTGGATTGTGGAATAAAAAGAGATAAACTGTTAGTTTTCTCAATATTGTCATTGCAATCGGGACATATACCGCCATCTGCCGGCTTAAAATGGTATTGCAGTACATTTTAAACAACTTGGGAGTGAAAAGGCTGTTTTGTCACTACAACGGATTTGGGGATGTAGTTTATTGTTAATAGATATTGTGGTTTCACAACAATAAAGTTTTGTATTGTGCATATGGATTTATGAGTAGTACGAAACAATGTCTGAGTTTCTTGTTCTTTAAATTACAGTCCAATTAATCATACATGTTTGAAATATAATGCTGAAATATTAACCTCTGAACATTTTTTGTTTGTTGATGATATTTCATTTTTAATTTATTATTATTTTGCATCATGATTTATTTTATGGTGTAGTGTCATGTGGTAATTGTTGCAAATTCTAAATGTAATTTTTATTTTCCTCAACTGAGGTCATTTTTATTTGCTTTATTCTTCAGTACGTTGAATGTAGGTTACATTGTAAACTGAATGTATGTGAAAACGAAGATTGAAATAGTTTTAAAAAAGTTTAAAATGTACTGCAATAACCATTTTAAGCCGGCAGATGGCGGTATCTGCCCCGATTGCAATGACAATATTGAGAAAACTAACAGTTTATCTCTTTTTATTCCACAATCCACATTGGTAGCAGTTGTCATAAATTATTTCAGAAATTGAGAACTGCTCTGGCGCTCTCCATCTGGCTCTGGTGCTCCCCTGCTTTTCCTGACTCTGTACCGGAGGCCGGTGACCCACCGCCGGTCTTCCACCCGGAAGTGTCTGTGGATCTTCCACTAGATCTGTCACGGATTCGTCTGGGGGAGCAACAAAAATGATGGAAAAAATAAATGCATTAACGCTTCTGATTGCATTACACTGTATATGCATGAAGTGACTGGGAAACGCATTTGTAAACCGCTTGAAATATTTCAAATATTTTCGGTGACAGCCTTGTTTGTTTTGATTTTGTTAATAAAGTAAAAAATAAAAACGTTGGCATGATGAGGCCGATGATGCAATAAGTGCTGCAATTACTGAGGTCCCTACAGCCGCAGGTACCGTGGCAGCAGTGGTAGGAGGCGTGGCTAGTGCCACTAAAAGTCGTGGTAGGGGGCGTGGCTAGTGCCACTAAAAGTCGGAAGTGTAATGGCAGCAGTGGTAGGGGGCGTGGCTAGTGCCACTAAAAGCCGTGGTAGGGGTCGTGGCTAGTGCCACTAAAAGCCGTGGTAGGGGTCGTGGCTAGTGCCACTAAAAGCCGTGGTAGGGGTCGTGGCTAGTGCCACTAAAAGTCAATAATCCAATAATACCTAGCTGCGGACATTGCCCAGGAAAAACGTTTTTCCTGGGCAATGTCCGCAGCTAGACCTTACTCCTAAAAGTCGTGGCACCACCCGGAAGTGTAATGGCAGCAGTGGTAGGGGGCGTGGCTAGTGCCACTAAAAGCCGCGGGTGCCACTAAAAGCCGTGGCACCACCCGGAAGTATCAGAGCTGCCACTGCAAGTGCCACAAGCGCTGCCGCTGCCACAAATTGCGCTCGGTCCTGCTGGAGAAAAGGTCAACATGGAGGGTCGTTTCTAAATGTAGAGAAGCTCTTTCATTTTTGTTTTCTTCAGTGCAACAACAGAAGTGACAGCAGCTGGATTCTTCACAGATAGATGATCTTGTTGCCCTTTTGTTCCTCTGAACAGGAACACAGTAGACGAGAAGAGACTCCTTGCTTTAATCAGAGCTTTTGAGCAGACCTGTGAACAAACAGGACTCCACGCCTGCTGTAGTAAAGAAGTTCACTTTGTACAGGCTGCAGGATCTTCTCTCTGAGCAGGAGGGAGAACCAGGATCTTCTCTCTGAGCAGGAGGGAGAACCAGGATCTTCTCTCTGAGCAGGAGGGAGAACCAGGATCTTCTCTCTGAGCAGGAGGGAGAACCAGGATCTTCTCTCTGAGCAGGAGGGAGAACCAGGATCTTCTCTCTGAGCAGGAGGGAGAACCAGGATCTTCTCTTTGAGCAGGAGGGAGAACCAGGATCTTCTCTCTGAGCAGGAGGGAGAACCAGGATCTTCTCTCTGAGCAGGAGGGAGAACCAGGATCTTCTCTTTGAGCAGGAGGGAGAACCAGGATCTTCTCTCTGAGCAGGAGGGAGAACCAGGATCTTCTCTCTGAGCAGGAGGGGGAACCAGGATCTTCTCTTTGAGCAGGAGGGAGAACCAGGATCTTCTCTCTGAGCAGGAGGGGGAACCAGGATCTTCTCTTTGAGCAGGAGGGAGAACCAGGATCTTCTCTCTGAGCAGGAGGGAGAACCAGGATCTTCTCTTTGAGCAGGAGGGAGAACCAGGATCTTCTGCCTGAGCAGGAGGGAGAACCAGGATCTTCTGCCTGAGCAGGAGGGAGAACCAGGATCTTCTCTCTGAGCAGGAGGGGGAACCAGGATCTTCTGCCTGAGCAGGAGGGAGAACCAGGATCTTCTCTCTGAGCAGGAGGGGGAACCAGGATCTTCTCTCTGAGCAGGAGGGAGAACCAGGATCTTCTGCCTGAGCAGGAGGGGGAACCAGGATCTTCTCTCTGAGCAGGAGGGGGAACCAGGATCTTCTCTCTGAGCAGGAGGGAGAACCAGGATCTTCTGCCTGAGCAGGAGGGAGAACCAGGATCTTCTCTTTGAGCAGGAGGGAGAACCAGGATCTTCTCTCTGAGCAGGAGGGGGAACCAGGATCTTCTGCCTGAGCAGGAGGGAGAACCAGGATCTTCTCTCTGAGCAGGAGGGAGAACCAGGATCTTCTCTCTGAGCAGGAGGGAGAACCAGGATCTTCTCTCTGAGCAGGAGGGAGAACCAGGATCTTCTCTTTGAGCAGGAGGGAGAACCAGGATCTTCTCTCTGAGCAGGAGGGGGAACCAGGATCTTCTCTCTGAGCAGGAGGGAGAACCAGGATCTTCTCTCTGAGCAGGAGGGAGAACCAGGATCTTCTCTTTGAGCAGGAGGGAGAACCAGGATCTTCTCTCTGAGCAGGAGGGGGAACCAGGATCTTCTGCCTGAGCAGGAGGGGGAACCAGGATCTTCTGCCTGAGCAGGAGGGGGAACCAGGATCTTCTCTCTGGTTAAATGCGTTCATTTCCTGCCCCTGAGATAACGCCTTCTCTTTGTTTTCAGATATGGAACCAGCAGGACCGACAGTCTATACTGGAGATTTTGGCTCATCTTCTCATAGAGAAGGATTACACCCTGCTGGTAGCACGACACGTTCGACCACTGATCCTAGATCTGTTGGTGCGAAATGTAGCTAAGATCAAAGCTGGAGGCGGGTTCCACCATGACTTTCATGAGCGCTTCTGTGTGGCCCTTAGTAAACTCCTCAGCATCAGTCCTGATGCTCACGTGTAAGTGATGCCAACGCCCGCTCACTAGCTCCAGCTCGCCGTGGAGGATTCCAGTTCTTCTGAACACGTTTCTTCTTCTCTACTTTAAGGTTTGCTGCGAGGTACTTCAGCGGTGCCCCTCCGGTCTTCCAGAGGCTCTTCTTCACAAGTGAGGAATCTTCAGCAGTCTGCTATGGTCCTCAGAGGATGAAGCTCCGTGACCTGATGGGTGCCACCCTGCGCTTCCTGGAGGCTGACTGCAGCACGTTTGGACCTCTGTGGGACTGGAGTCCCTGTGTCCCGCTGCTGCGCAGCAGTGACGTGGTTGTCCGAGGGTATGCTGCTGTTTTCCTGTTACATGTCTGGTCTGTAGCCACAGTTGATGTGAAGTCCCACTGATGTTTGTTAACATCTAAATGTCTCCTGCTTGGACTCTTTTGTTTCTGATCGGCGGCGTTTTGCTCCAACAGGTGCACCGCTCAGTGTTTGGCTCTCGTCTCTCATATGACTGATTCCCAGAAAACCAGCTTCCTGAAGAAAGTTCTGACAAGTGAAGAAATCCTGCATCTAAAACTGAAGTAAGAGTTCATTGCTGTGTCTGCCCGTTAGAATGATAATGATGCCTTTGACTTTTAGGCACCTTTCAAACCCCAACGTCACCTCACAAAACCACGATAACACCACCACCGAACACCCAATCAGCTCTCATTTAGAATCACTAATGGAAAACACCTGCAGAGAGCTCCCGGGCCTTTATCTTGTCTC